GCGAGCTCGTGTGAGAGGCATAGCTCGCCGCACGCCCTCGTTCACCTGCAGACGCTGCGTTGTCTCTCCACGGATCACGCGCTATTAAACGGGGGTCGGGGGCGAACGACGCTGCCCTCACACTGCGCGAGTCCCGGCGGCGACAGACGGATCGGGGACCTGCGGACGCACCGACCCCTTCACCCACACTACGAGCGCACACACCTGCACACACGCGACACCCACTCGTGCGCCGCTCTACGCAGCGCTCACTCACGTGGTGAACCACAGTGTACACACGCGCACCCACACGCTCACACTGCACGACAATATCACGCGAGACCACGCTTCGCTATTAATGATTTATTATCTGATACCTGGTAATTTAATGTTAAATCAGTGAGTCGACGAGGCTGGCCTACGCTGATACCTTTATACCTATTCCCGATTTATCTGCTATGATTCTAATTCTAATGTTAAATCAGTGAGTCGACGAGGCTGGCCTACGCTGATACCTTTATACCTATTCCCGATTTATCTGCTATGATTCTAATTCACCTACTTACTTCCTGCTGGATGCCCACGGCGGTTCGTTGATCCCGTGCTCGCAGCGTACCTCGATGCGTCTCACGGACGATCGGGTCGCTGGACTGGAGAGCGTCCTGTCGCCTGGCGCTGGAGAGAAGAGAGCGATTTCCCCTCTGCGCTCCTCTATTTATCCTCCCTACCTCAAAGGGGATGCTGCGCTGAACAATGGGCTCGTGCACCCCAAGCCCGCGCACGGCGGTTCCCGGGCGCTGTTGATATGCTAATCAGTGAGCGACGTTGGCGGCGTACATCCTAATTACTCCCTTACCCTTCCTAACAATGGGGCCTGCGCGCTCAAGCGCAATTATCCCAACCCTCCATGACTATGCGCAACAGCCCCTGTGACCCCGCTATTCATGCTGTCCCGTGCCTCCCCTGCTTGCCCCGTCGACCCGTGGGAGTGTGTGTGGGGGGAAATGCGCCTCAACCGCGGTGGCCGAATGCCCCACGCCACGACGACACCATATTAAGGCCGGCCGCAGCGCCGCGGTGCCACGTAGCACGGGGGAGGTCATCCAATTCCCTGATCGCCGGAAACCGTGAGAATTAATCCCGATAAGGGTCTCTCGGATAAAAACCGGTCGGCCAGGCGACCTCCCCTCAGAGCTCTATGGGGGGGGGGGGAAATGAGTGCGGGTGTGTTCATGTGAGGTGAGGTGAGGGGGACGCCGGGTCGGCTCCGTTGCTTGGTGGTGGCGAGGTCGGGGATTTGGTGCCTGCCAACGGCTTCGTGGCGGCGGCATCACACCTCACTTGATGCAGCTAATTCGGCTGTGACGGTCCCACCTGATGACGGAGACTTGTGTTGCCTCCGAAACGTCGTGATTTGTTGTTTTATTTTATTTTCATTAATTTTGATGTTTTACCTACGTGACTTTACCGAAAAAAACCTAAGAACCTGGATATACTGTTGGGACAAGTGCTGTTAGCGAGCACCTATGAGGGCCGACACGGTTGGGTGGGTGGCCAGCACCACGCCCGACCGCCTTTGTCTCCCGAGTGGCGATGTTTACTACAAATCGCACTAGATACTCATTTTAGGCTGAGTCGACCTTGGGGAGGCCCAGCACCGGTCCAGATAATCGTCACTGGTGTTGGCCGTGAGTCCGCGTGCTGACCGCTACAACACCGCTCCCCACATTTCACATTCACGCGCAACAAATTGAATTTGCAATTCTTAATTTCCTGTCATGGCCGCTGATTGAGTTAAAGCGTCCAATAATCTCTGGAAAATACGAGACGTGTGTTGTTTTTTATCTCTCAGAACCGCATGCTGTGGAGCCTGCTTCATACGAAGACCTTAATTTTTTTGCCTAGCAAAACTTTATTGCATCGCAAGACTCTTTTTCAAGAGGATCCTCCTCGGGATATTTGGCCAAATCCTCAGATAGGATCTCTTTCTCCTGCCTCCCCTAAGCGATTCGATAAATCGTCACAATTCGTGGTCGCTGTGTTGTTGAAGCAGGCCTCCCATCAGTTACTTTTTTCACACTGCGGCCAATGGTAGCACTAGCACCAATACTTGGCACAATTATTTTCAAAATAAAATTGAGTGCGAATAAAAAAAAAAGCATTTTCTAAAATGCGATATTCATAATGTTTATGCAGCTGCCCGTGGCTTCAATTCCCATTCCACGCCGCTTTTCCAGGGAGGGTAGCGACGCCCATGTTTATTTGAATTTGCGCTGCATCCAGTGCCGAATTAAGCTAGTGTGGGGCCTCTAGCATATGTTATAAAGGGGCCCTAAATAAAAAAAACGTACATATTAAAACACATATATTTTTAACTTGCAAAGTAAAGTAATTGTATTTTTTTTTCATTTGCTATACAGCCAGATAATATGAGAAATCGCTAACCTTAAACACCCAGTCGTTCATAAAAGTTGAAGGCAGTATAGTACTATAGTAATAGAGCAAGTGCAGAATCACTGACCCGGAATTGATACCTTGAAAGCATTTAGCGTGCGGCCCTTGAAAGTGCGAGGCCCGTGGCATTTGTAGCTACTTTTGCTACTGGGATAATCCTTCCTTCACTGTCTGCCTCGACGCGCACCACCCCTGCCAGTTTTGTGACCCAACTTGAGCGAGCGTGCGGCTCAAACGAAGCATCGCGAAGAACAGAGAGGTGGGGGCTGAGTGTAAGAGTGAGATAAAGAGAGTGATATAGTCCATTAAAAAAAAACACAACAAAAGCCCAAGTGATGATCAAACTGAAGTTGACAAACACAGAACCGATGTTTTACCGATAGAACGAAAGAGACCGAGAGAGGCGAGGAAGCGGGAGAGCTAGAGAGAGGGAGAGAGACCAAGAGAAAGCGAGAATGATATGAGCTACCCGTCGGAGGCCGTCGGAGAGAGTGAGCGAGAGGTGGGGGTTTACATAAAGCAAAGTTTAAAATTTTTTACTTAAAAAATTTACGAAATGATGAACGAAGCAAAGTGCCGAATACACCGAGCATCTTGTTGTTTCCACTGATCGTAAAAAAAAGAGAGCGAGAATGAGAGAGCAAGGAGAGAGTGAGCGAGACCAAGTGACAGAGAGAGAGAGAGAGAGAACGAGGGGAGCATGAGAATGAGAGCGATAGAGAAAGAAAGAGAGCGAGAGAGAGAGAGAGCAGGAGAGAAAGAGAGAGAGAGAGTGTGCGTGTGTGTGCACGTATGCTCAAAAATACTAAGCTCTGCCATTAGACACATCCGGCCAGGAGGACAACACTGACGCATCCAGCAGCCCCAGCTAAACACATTCCCAAGAGGCCTTTTAACTTCTCGCTTTGTGAAGCCGCGGGCTGTCGTCGTCAAGGCCAAGAGAAGCGAAGTGCGCACATGCTGTACGTCGTGAATAAGGGCCGTCGCAACATGTGAGCACAATCTTCTTGGTTCTTTCGGTAAAGTCACGTAGAAGGGAAATAATAAAATAATAATAAAACATAATAAAATAAAAGTCTCACGACATTTCGGCCTCAACACAAGCAGCCGTCCTCAGGTGAAGACAGAGCTGTCTGAAAGACAGCGCTCCAATGAACACTGCTAAGCTTGGCAGCGTATTTTGAAGCTTGGTGGGAGGAGAAGAGCGCCTTGACAAAGGAGTTTACATGTCAGCAGAATAATTTAGCATTGAATAAGCTGTGTTAATGTGAGAGAATTAGCAGGATGTTAAAGCCAGAAATTAGCATGTAACTGGGAGATTAGCATGATGTTAATGTGAGGAATTAGCATGTAACTGGTCACGAAAATGGCTATGTTAAAGTCAGAGTTTACATATCAACAGAGGCATTTAGTATATTGACGCTAAAGAACTGAAACCACCCCCATCATACAATGTGAGCACAATGCGAGTACCTTTAGCGCACATGATATAAATGGCGTATATATGCTGTGTGTAATGATAATCCCCTGTTAACAACCTCATAGGTACACACAAATGGGCATCCGCACACAGGTGCAGATCTACACATGTCGGTACAGACTCATAAAACATTAAAAATAATAAATTCCCCCGTGTAGCCATTCGAACTGTTGAGGCAAGAGCTGATAGCGAGCACCTATTAATAAAATATGATGGCTATTTTTTTATGTAGGCTTTCACGACGGATGTTATGATTCGTTAATTGTTACTTTTGCATTACATCTTGTAAGTATAATGTCATTTTTTTACGATAACCCTCCACCACCAGAAAGTACAAAATGTGTTGGATAAAAACAATTATACGACCTTTCAAAAACGTACGCTCATAACAATCTAATAACAATTCCGTGTTCTTCCTTTCATACTAAATTAATTCCATACGCAGGTGAATATTTTAAGGGAGAAATTACACGTGACACATTCGGTTCAATTAGAGCAGCGGTTCGTAACCTTTTCTGAGTGTGCGGACCCATTTTCAACCTCCAAACATTTCGCCGACCACCACATGCTGCTCATAGTTGTCTGAAATTGTACATTTCCTTGGTGAGGATGTTTTTTTAATGATTATTATTTTTTCCACGAACCCCCTGTAGTAGCCTCGTGGCTCACCAGGGGTCTGCGGACCATAGGTTGGAAACCCTCTGAATTAGAGACAGCTCTAATTTGGAACACACTGTGATGATAAAAGCAAACCATAAGGCATATAGCATTATACCAGCAGTTTCTATTAAACTAAACCCATTGTTTGTGCTTGTTCACGTCAGTAACTGCTGGCAGAAGGGCCTACATGAGAGATCCCCCTCTAGACGGTACTTGGCCTACTCTTCCGCACTGGCCAGATGTCACTGGAAGAGGTGGGAGTATTCACGCTCTCAACCATACAAATAAAAACAGGCCACTTTTGATTCCAACAAGATGAGTTATTTCCCCAGACTTTTGAATTGAGTCCCCAAGTGATTTAAAAATGAAAAGCTGACTTGTTCTTTTGGCTGCGCGTCTGCGTGCATTGCCCGTGTCCCCCCCCCAGAGCGCCTGTGGACGGCGCCGGAGCTGTTGCGCATGGAGGAAGTGGCTCCGCGCGGAACGCAGAAGGGAGACGTCTACAGCTTCGCCATCATCCTGCAGGAGATCGCCCTGCGCAGCGGACCTTTCTACCTGGAGGCCAACCACCTCACGGCCAAAGGTGTGTGAGTTCCAGGGATTTAAAGTATTGCTGATTGTTTTCCTGGGTCTGCCGGTACACTGGCGTAGTAGGTATCTGACCAGTAGCCACCATGGCCATGGTCTGTATGGTTAAAATGGGATCTCTGGCTTTGCAGTCGTCGTAGTTGTATCGTGGTGATCAACAGCAGCAGCAAGGTAGAGGAGCGATGTTTGCAACAATGAGCAGAAAATAGGGTGCCAATAACTCTAGCTTATTAACCCATAACACTTAGCTCTGTAGCTCTGTTACCTCTGGCAAGTGGGCCTTCGCCACTACACGTGCCATGAGCTCGTTCACTGCATTAATCTATCACCGGGTCGCATCTGCGTTGCTGCGTGAGCAGAGATTGTTCAGCGGGTGAAGCAGGGCGAGTGGCCCTACCTGCGGCCCACGGTGGACCCCGGGGGACACTCCGAGGAGCTGGGCCACCTCATGCAGCGCTGCTGGGCCGAGGAGTCGACGGAGAGGCCCGACTTTCACCAGATCAAGATCCTCTTGCAGAAGTTCAGCAGGTGATATGTCTTCACGTAAAAATTATCTTGCAGAGGATCAGCACGTGATGTTCACGAGATCTCAGTCCCATGGGAAGTCACGGTGTATGACGTCACAGAGATCTCTGGTTCATCAGGGGGTGCCCACCAGATCCAGGTCGTCTTGTAGATGTTCAACGAGTAATGTCCACCAGATTCACATCTTCTCGAATAGGCACAGTAGATGTTCACCAGCAATCTTGTATATATATATTTTCGCAGGACTTGAGAAAACATTGGGCATATTGGTAAGAGATTACATATGTATTTCTGCTGATAATGTAGTTGTTATTGTAATTACAAATTGTGGTGATGTTGATGACGATGCGAGTTATCACAACAAAATATTGGACATTTTCAAACCAAAAATGTTGCATTGGCATCGACCTAAATTTCATGACTGTAACATTTGCAATGTTAACAAAAATAAACACTAGCAGGGTGTCTCTGGCAATGTAATCACAGGGAGAGCAGTGGCACCATCCTGGACAATCTGCTGTCACGGATGGAGCAGTACGCCAACAACCTGGAGGAGCTGGTGGAGGAGCGAACGCAGGCCTACCTGGAGGAGAAGGGCAAGGCCGAGGCTCTGCTCTACCAGATCCTGCCCCAGTGAGTCTGGTTTCCCCACGGCCACTGCCAAGCTGGCCTGGCGACCCAGGAACAGCCCCTGGCCAGCCTGCCAGTTCAGTTTGAATCCACGTCCCCGCTCTTGTATGTATGTTGTTGAAATTGTTTCGCACCGTAAGTAACCAACCGCGCGAAACGGAGGTGCGGGGGAAGGACATCAAACTAAACACAAAAAGAGGTTCTGAAGACATGAGTTGTAAATTTAGATTTAAGAGTGCATAGCTTCAGTGGCTTCCTAATATCGGAAGGAAGAGCAATCCAGACCACTGCAGAAGCACATCTTCATGAGTTATACGCCCCCCCCCCCCCCCGGTCTGGGGGGGCTCACCCCTCCTGCTCCATTCCCTCTGTACAGCTCCCTGTGGTTTATGTCTGAACGTAATACTATTATGATAATGAAATAATAATTCATGGAATAATAATCGTGTTCAGGTTTTTTGTTAAGCCACTGTTGGATGAAGGTCGTCCCATGCCGTGGTTGATTTTTTGGTGGTAATTTTTCTAGTATTAAATTTTTATTTACAATGGCTTAGGTGAGGTTATGCTAATGTTCTGCCCTGCTTTGTTTTCTTGGAATCATGTCTCCTTTCCACGTTGATCCCGTGGTGTCACCGCTGGTTTTCCGAAGGGATTCTTGGGTAAAAGTGTGCAGGCTCCCTTTCATGAGGCAGCCACACGACCAGCAAGGTATGCGGAGGCCTTCGCCCAGCGGTGGACTGACAAAGGCTGGAAATTGATTTGTTTGAACCCACTACATCCCACTCACAGGGGGAGTCTGCGCACAGCAATACGAGGAACGCTGTGAAACGCGGAGAATGAGTTCTCTTCTTTCGTCCCAAACGCGGGGTTAATTTAAATCGGTGACTCGGGATTATTTTAACCGAGCGATTTACCCCACACAATTTCATTTGAACAAATATATATTTTAAAAAATCTGGTCAACCTTGTGTAGAATTGTATGGCTTGACCACTGCACAGATCGCGGAAGGCAAGGGCAAGTTAAACCTTCATGGACCGAAGAGCAAAAAATATTAATCTAAGGGAGGAAATGAGACCATTTTCCAGTGGGCTATTGCACTGATTAGGCTGATAGTCAGGTGGCTGAGAGCCGGCAACACGTTTGTCAATTTATTTTTATTATCATCATCATCAAGAGCTCGCGAGTAGAAAATTACCGGAGTGTTACGTGCGGTATCTGCGCTGCGTCTATAAATAATACATCACTTCTCCGCTTGGTGACCCGCACACTGACGTCACGAGTACGTCCTTAGCCTCCCCGCTGCGTCCTGCTGTGCGTTAGTCATGAGCACGCAGGCTCGCGATGACGAGGAATGAGTGTATTTAGCTTTTGTCGTGGACCGAGTGCTCTTTTACATCTCTCCTGCAGTATGGATTCCTGCAGCCACGAAAGCTTCAAATCAAGATTACATCTCTCCTATCTGTCTCTTCTCAATTAGAATGCTGATCTGTTCCTTTTGAAAACCGTGCATCCCGTTTATCATCTACCTCTTCCGCAGGCAATAGAGAAGCCATTTTAGCAGGTACCATGTGCAGATAACGCCTTTCGACCAAATCACCTGGAACGCGTTCCATCTCGTCAAATATATCGGAAGCTAAGCAGTATTGAGACTGGATAGTGCTCGGATGGGTGACCACCAGGATTTGCCAAGTGTTGTAGGCAAGCATGGGGCTGTGAGTTGACCAGGAGATGGATACATTCAATGTCACCCCTTTCGTATATATGTATTTTCTCTGGTTTCCTCGCATACAGGGTAAAAAACGTGGTATTTCAGAATAGAATGTGTCCAGAAAGTGTTGTTGATTAAATCAAGAAGAGGAGATTGAAAACTAATTTCTTTAAAACTTATTTTCCCCCACACCTCCAATTAGTACAGTTGACTACGTACAGTGTGAAAAAAGTTCAACATACATTCATACATGCATGGTGAGCTTACGCCAAATTCCAACCCAAGCCCTGTGGTCATCTATATATTAAGGTATTATCAGCTAATTAATGAGTGTTTACACATCATTCATATTTAATGTAATTATTGGCCAAAAACCAAACGTATGTTAATGGTATTGGCGTCAGCTCACCATATAACTGCCTTTCCCCGCTTCGCTGCGGTTTCTCTTTGGGCCTCTGAGTTATTCTCTGTCTTCGAGAGCGAGCGAATCCTGTGCGATGCGTTACAAGTTTAAATTATTATTATGATCCCCATCATCAGCGAACCGAATAAGGTGCCCTCCCGTAGCGTGTGATAACCAACCCAGAGCAGGCAAGGGACACTAACCACTTCCTAGTGAGAATTAGGACACAATAGTCGGCGGGTATATTTCTAAGGTTACTTGGGATTCGTGAAGCGTCCCAGTGATCAAGTCACGCGGGATCGATGCGCGGGGCTCGTTGGGAATCGGCGATCGGTGAACCAACCGGCCTGGGGCACTCCTCGTGTGTGGCCACAGCTCGGTGGCCGAGCAGCTCAAGCGCGGGGAGACGGTGCCGGCCGAGGCGTTCGACAACGTCACCATCTACCTCAGCGACATCGTGGGCTTTACGGCCATGTCGGCCCAGAGCACGCCCATGCAGGTGCTCACCGCGCGATGCGAGATCCCATCGCGCGCTTCTTCAGTTCGCTCACCGCGGGACAATCGCCGCAACCATAAACTTAGCACAGGCCACTCACCGCAAGTGTCCACTTGCCGCATCCACACTCTGCATTTACTCACCGTGTGCCATTCACGGCAACCATCCTCTCAACAGTCTGCTCACCACGTTCATCCACTCACCACATCCATCCACTCACCACGGGCTACTCACCACTCACCGTGTGCCACTCACCGCAACCATCCACTCAACGCAGTCCACTCACCACATCCATCCACTCACCACGGGCTACTCACCACTCACCACTCACCGTGTGCCACTCACCGCAACCATCCACTCAACACAGTCCACTCACCACATCCATCCACTCACCACGGGCTACTCACCACTCACCACTCACCGTGTGCCACTCACCGCAACCATCCACTCAACACAGTCCACTCACCACATCCATCCACTCACCACGGGCTACTCACCACTCACCACTCACCGTGTGCCACTCACCGCAACCATCCACTCAACACAGTCCACTCACCACATCCATCCACTCACCACGGGCTACTCACCACTCACCACTCACCGTGTGCCACTCACCGCAACCATCCACTCAACACAGTCCACTCACCACATCCATCCACTCACCACGGACTACTCACCACTCACCACTCACCGTGTGCCACTCACCGCAACCATCCACTCAACACAGTCCACTCACCACATCCATCCACTCACCACGGGCTACTCACCACTCACCACTCACCGTGTGCCACTCACCGCAACCATCCACTCAACACAGTCCACTCACCACATCCATCCACTCACCACGGGCTACTCACCACTCACCACTCACCGTGTGCCACTCACCGCAACCATCCACTCAACACAGTCCACTCACCACATCCATCCACTCACCACGGGCTACTCACCACTCACCACTCACCGTGTGCCACTCACCGCAACCATCCACTCAACACAGTCCACTCACCACATCCATCCACTCACCACGGGCTACTCACCACTCACCACTCACCGTGTGCCACTCACCGCAACCATCCACTCAACACAGTCCACTCACCACATCCATCCACTCACCACGGGCTACTCACCACTCACCACTCACCGTGTGCCACTCACCGCAACCATCCACTCAACACAGTCCACTCACCACATCCATCCACTCACCACGGGCTACTCACCACTCACCACTCACCGTGTGCCACTCACCGCAACCATCCACTCAACACAGTCCACTCACCACATCCATCCACTCACCACGGGCTACTCACCACTCACCACTCACCGTGTGCCACTCACCACATCCATCCACCACACCACAGTCACTCGCCATGTCTCACTCGCACACGACAACCACTCACCCCGGCCTCTAGCTACACATCGCTCTTTGCAAATTTCAGATACCAATAGCTTTTTGTGCCACGTGGTGAAGGGGGAGTGGTCTGATCAATAACCCCTGGGGCAACCGCACAGTATTTAATCGTCAAACATCACTTCACTGATGAGACCCAAAAAGTTAAAACCGGTCCAGAGTTTTCTTGATTAAACAAATGCTGTGGCTAGTATTCGTTCGGAAGGACTCTTTATTTTGTACATGCAGATACAGAACAGAAGTTCAATGATGCATTTAAATTGCCTCTGATCTTGTCATTCTAAAATCAAACAAATTCGTAAATCGAATGTCACACAAGAGTTTTCTAATTTTACGCACTTTGCGTAGTCCAGTGACACGGTGCTTGGTGCCACGCACGTTGCGTTGATCGACACTGTCGTGAGGAGACATCACACGAACCTGTAGTAGACCACTCCCACTCCCACGGAGTCTGACGGGACCCTGGCGCTTGGCTGACTCTCACTGGATGTCTTTGTAGCCGGGGTTTGGTGGCCACACCCCTCCTGGTGAGTCAGAGACCCAGTGAGCCAGTGAGTGGGCCAAAACAAAAGCTGACCTTTATAGAACTGATGAAGCTCAGAGATGAGTGGACTGCCTGTTCAGTTCACGATCGAGTATGTTGTGTTTTTTTTATATATATGCTGACCGGAAAGGCGTCTGTCCTAGGATGAGAACGTTTGTCATTAATAATGAAGACGTGGGGGGGGGGGGTATATTGTTGGCACTCTGGTTAGTGCACTGCACTATGAAGCCGGTGGCTGGAGGTTTGATTCCTGGCCACGGTGTGGTCACGTTTGGTTAAACAACCCCCATGACTGACATGGGCATGGCTTTATCTGGCATTGGATTGACAAATAACAGTAAATTATCAAACTGTATTATCCAACAAAGGTTCATCCACTGATTGCCTCAATATTGCAGCACCAGATAATGAGAAGGTTTTTTTTTGTAACCTTTGAAGTTCATTAACTCTCCACATACTCTACGGCCGCTGTCGTTGTTCTGAAGCCTTACCATGTTAATCTGGGTTTACCGAGGCCACATTTGTCAATATTCTACGGAAAAAAATTGCAATCAGATGTTAATTTTACAAACTGATTATAACTGGTTTGTTTTATTTTGGTTTATGTTTCTTATGTTGTTGCATTTAATGTTATTTTAGGGTTTTTTTATGGTTGCATATTCCCATTTATAATTAATAAAGTCGCTGCATCAGTGAATATATACAATTTATACAATTTATACAACGGGGTTAGTAAAATAATAATAGCTGTCACAGAGAGGAAAGGAAGATTGGGACTTTTTTCTTCGACTGTTCTTCGTTAGGAAATGCAACTGCCACTGATGGAACCATCAACCGCATCACAACATCAACAGGACAATGTGCACATCTCCGTCATTCGTGGGAAATTAAAGACAAGCCACAGTAGTGCAAACGTGACCATACAACACAAACTATGGACCGCACAGTAACCCCACTGTGGTCTGCTCTCCTTCAGCAGAGGAGGAGGAGAAACAGAAAAACTCCACAAACTCTCCCTACTGAAGCCCTCTCGTTGTGCCCAGCAGACTTAGCTCCTGAATATATTGTCATAGGCAAGAATAGAATAGAATTTTCCAAGAAATACAGTTTTATGACGAAGGCCAGGCTATTTTATTTCCATTTATATGCACGTGGGTTTTCCCTAGAGATGCTTCTGCATTTTAGCGCTGTGCGAATATAATTTTAAGATAATGTTATTGGTTAAATATTTTCAACTCGTGACCCTTATAAACACATCATGTTTCAATACGCTTTTGTATCGCCACCTTTTACTCTAAAATGAAACCACAGTGATTATTTTCACACCAGAGTACATGAATATGAAATACTCCATAAACTAACAAAAAATTGGGGAAGCTTAATATAGATTTGGAAAAAAAACAGCATTGTCGTTCAGAGTGCGCGAGCTCCCGTCGGCAACTTGTGAGGATGGCTTCGGTGACATCAGAGGCGTTCATTGTTTTGTCTCCCTGCCCGTGCCTCGGCGATAGTGTCATCACTGCATCACACATGTGCTTGGATAAACATTACGCTCGTCCATCCGTCCATCTGAGGACACTTCACGTTTTTCACAGAAACTACAAAACCCTGAAACCATTCTCTCTGAAACGTAGCACACAGCTGACAAACACCAGTGCCCAGTTCTGTAGCGTTCTTCAGCAAGAATGACAAAAACATTTTGTTAAGAAAAAGTAAAAGTGTATTCTGCTCACCGGCATTTAATTGCAGCACGTGCGTTAAAACGTGAGCCCATGGGTGTCAGTACGTGTTGAATGCGCGTGTCAAAATGCATGTTATGTTATAACGTTACGAAAACCGGCGACCAGAGCTTGATTCCCCAGCTCACGGACAACACCAGTGACAATTATCAGAATCTGTTTGTGGAAACAAATTTGTTGGATAAAATTGGTGTAGAAAACCCAGGGATCATTGGACTTATATTTGCGTAATGTATTTCCACGTGGAGACACCGAGCAGAGGTCACAATATGCGTGCTGTGACCAATATTGCACCGCAAGAATACATAATGAGTTTGTATACTTTCCTATTCTTGGCGTGTGAACAAAATGAAATCTATTGCAGCACTACCAAGAAAATGTATATCCAAAAGAGTCTGTTAGTATGTTAAGGACGCTGACAAAGCCTTGAAAAAATTGCGGCACAAAGGGCGACGGGCGGCAGCGACGACGGCGTCTTTTTAGCGAAACGACGATCGTGCTTTGACGACGCTGCACTTCGGCGTTCCGTCAAACCGCGACAACGGCATCGTTTTAGAAAAATAATTTTTTTTAAACAAAACCCTGCAAACGTTACATTCAGACAAACTCGCGTACATTTTTACGAAAACAAACAAACTTAGCAAAGTCAATACTGGACGCGTGTCAATTCTCGCCATGTGGAAACCCAAATAAAGACGCGATGTTATCCGCTGTGTTCAGACAGAACCTTTCATGGGCATGAGTGGAGACGGTCTCGTTTCAACGCACGTCCCGCCTTGATTAATCCCTCGCTCGGGCGCGTGTCCTTGCCTTTTTTCCCAGGTGGTGGCCTTCCTCAACGACCTTTACACTTGCTTCGACGCAATAATCGACAACTTCGATGTGTACAAGGTGAGCCTCGTATTGCGCTGTCTGTCTGCGGGTAACGTGTCTGTTCGTGCATCTGCCCTCTCTTTGTGTACGTACCTGCCTGTTTCCTTCTCTTGCCCTTTCTGTCTGTTTGCAAATCTATTTCTTTTGCTTATTTGTATGTGTACATGCCCGTCTCCCCGGGTCTGTTTGTCCATCTGATGTCTGTCTGCCAGTTTGCGAGGCAGGCAGACATACACCTGTTCTGTCTGCATCTTAGTCTGTCTGTCAATCTTGTACAGCTCTGTATCTTATGTCCACACGTCTGTCCATCTCTATATACAACTGTCCGTCTGTGTGGCTGTCTGTGTTACCAAGTTTCTCTGTATTCACCAGGAATGTGGGGACCCTTAAACCTCGCGTGTAATGAAAGGAAATGAGCGGATGCCTCGCAATCAGCAGGCACGTGAACCTTGCGACAGCGAAAAACCGGAGTGCCTGAAGAAAACTATCGCGCAGGAGAGGATAAAACTCAAACATTCATACAGACCGCTCAGCAGCACCCTACTTTCTATACTGCCATACATGCATTGGCCTAAAAGCCCGATTGCTTCACCATCAACCAAGATGGGGATTTATTTTTGTAATGGCAGTTGTCAATGGGGTTGGCAGTCGTGGTGGTGGTAGTGGTGGTCATTTAGGTGGTGATGCTGGCGATTGTTATAGTAGTGGTGGTGATCGTGGGAATGAAAATGTGGCCATGGAGTGGGAGCTTTGGTAGCCAGAGGGGCCAGGATTGAGATGCGTGTTCAGGAGGAGGTGGACATGGTGGTGGAGTGATTGTGGAGGTAATAACAGTGGTGGTGTTGGTGGTGATGGTTATAGGGGTTGATTGCGAAGGTGTCGGTGGTGAAGAGGTGGTGACAGAGGAGGTGATGGCAGTAGTGGGGTTCAGAGGCAGGTGAAAAATGAGGGCTTCACCCTCCTGCCAAACCTGAAGGCAAGAACTTTTCCACGCGGATGGTTTAAAAAACACACGGCAAGGAACCAACTTTTTTTTCCCCTTCACTTAACGATTTTTGTATTCGGTTACCAGAGCTTTCCTTGGCAGACGGCGAGCGCTCGTGGCAGGGCACGCGGACGATGAGGCCCCTGTAGGGTGGAGGGCGAGGAGCACTCAATCTCTCTGAATCCCGGCATCCACAGCGGCCATGGGCCCTGGTATTGGGGGCGGTGGGCACTCGGTAGGGCATCAGAGCCACCGAGAAAAAAACATGTTACAAAAAAACCCAAATTACCTCCCATGTTTGGAGGATCGCAGATTTTCCTCCCATGAATATAGCTTTCGAATGTGCGGGCTGTGCGACTGCAGCGGGGCCACAGGCATGGTGTGGGGAGGCCCTCGTTCAGCAGTGGATTGACAACATGGATGTACACGTGCGTCGGCTTAGCGATTGGCTTCGGCGCTGTTTTTTTCAACGTCGCGGTATTTTGCTCTACGGCACCGCCACCACCAGCTTAGATGAATGACTGAAAAAAAACAAAAGTACAAATAAATGAACAGAAAAATAAATGGCCGGGGTTCGACATACATGCTCTCATTGGCAGTCAGGCTTGCTTGAATCAATGCTCGTGAAGTCTCAATCTTACAGGCAAGGGACCCCATAACGTCTTTGCCTCAAAAAATGGAAGTTCACCAGCATTTATTCAAGCAAGCCTGACACTGCTGATGAGACAGTTGAGTGCCGAACCCGGGACAGAGTTTGCTCGTATTGAGACAATGCTGCCTAAATTAAGAGCACTCCCAGAAGGCCGTACGGCTGATGATTGTGTAAGAAACGCTGTTTTTGTCATGTAGCGAGTCGGATATGCGAAGTTGACGTATTGTGTGTGGATTTAACGTCGTCATTTACATTCTTTACAACGACGCCAAACAAATGATTGAATTTGAAATGGAGGGGGGGGCGGGGTAGCGAGCAATAACCGACGCGCTGTTGGACGTGCCGCCGCCAGGTGGAGACGATCGGCGACGCCTACATGGTGGTGTCGGGGCTGCCCGTGCACAACGGCAGGCGGCACGCCATCGAGGTGGCGCGCATGGCGCTCGCACTGCTCTCCGCCGTGCGCTGCTTCCACATCCGCCACCGGCCCGCGCAGAGGCTGCTGCTTCGCATCGGCATCCACTCCGGTCAGCGGGGGCCACGTGGTGGGCGCGTTTGTGGGAGTGGACGCTGAGAGGGGAGCGGTGGTGCGAGCCCAGTGGTGGTCTGTAAGCAGAAGTTATTTGTGGGGGTTGCCCTCTACCAGAACCGGCCCGAGACCTTTGTGGGCCCTAAGCAAAATTTGGTTGGAGGCCCCTTTGATGTATGATTTTTTTCACCCACTCGCCAGCAGTGACTCTAGGGGGCCCTCTGCTGGCCACGGGGCCCTTTGCAATTGCAAGGGTCGCTTAGTGGCTGGGCCGGCTCTGCCCCCTACCCACCCCCACTCTCGCCTTCGGTTTGTGAACACCGAGTAAGATAACAGAAGGTTGCGTAGGAAGAAAAAGAGATGCGGCAGAAGAGATGTAGGCAACAGAGATGTGATAATAATAATACGGGTTTAACCCTTTTTGCTGGCAACAAAACCTTTTTTACAAGGTTTCAGTTTTGTTGCCAGAAAAAGGGGAAAAACCCTATATTTTGGTACTGGCAAAGGAGGTCTAATGATGAAACAGAGATGTGGTTCGAAGAGGGATGCACACAAAAGATAGCGGTATCGATGCAGGTGGTATCGAGAGACACGGCGAGGTGGGAGAGTTGTAAGATGGAGATGTAGTGGTGGAAGCCGGTGAAATTACGTGTACTGTATGTACATGCACTCAATCGATGTTTGGTGGATCCATTCCCCGCCCCCCCCCTGATATCTAGGGCCCTTGAAGCTGCTTTGGTGCCGAGACCCAATTTCTCTCTAACAATACGGTACATGCAGTGAAATAAAATGTAATGTATTGGTAGTGCTGATGTAGGTTTTCACGGCACGATGTACGAAAAATGCTCTGATAAGCGTCATGGCAACCTTTTGCCTCCGAAAGAAACTCATTGTCCCGATGATGGGAGGGGTGTTACACACATGCTAGCTCCATCTCCGTGTGATCCGTCAACCCCACCACCGAGTCGCACCGCGTCCTTTTGTTGTTGCCGTTGCTGTTGTGCCGGTTGCTGGTGTGGCCTTCCTGCTGTCAGAAATAATGTATTGTACGCCGGGTCTGGCAGAAGATATGCCGCTTTACAACTCGCCAACATTCTAAGTTAATTTGGGCAAGAACAAACCACCCCCCCCCCATAGTTTCGTAACTTACGCAGGCTGCTGAAAGCGAGCCCAGGGTCCCAGTGCCCGGAGAGGAGACGCGTATTTTACTCCAGCCCCCACGTGCAAAACAGACTGCATGCGCGTGTCCACCCCCTGGGGTGCGTGCGTGCGTGCGATGGTCGCACGCATCACAGCGACGCCTGTCTGGAAGGCTTGAGCTCAACCACCGGCTGATCAGCTCACGTCTTACGCAGTTAAGTGGGGAGGAGGGAGAAGCAACGGGACTCAAATGCTACAGGAGGAGGGCGCAGCCACTTTTAATGGCTTTCAACGTTGCGGTAGCTCGGTAGGAAGTGCTTACCGCCGCGCTCGGCGTTTGGATGTCACCGTGCGCCAAAGCTCGTTATGGAATTAAATTTGTATTTTTTGTTAAGCGCAGCCAAGCCCGCGTGGAGGTAGGCAGTGGGGGTTTGGTGTGGATGGATCAATAGTACGGTACAATAAATACAATAGAGATTTGCAATAATGGGCAGGTTTTTATGACCACTTTAGCGGTATGAAAGTTAGTCGATCTGCAGGTCGTGTGTGGTGAGGTCATGTGTGGGTACTCCCATCTCTGGCCAGAGTGGAAGAGTAGGCCAAATATCCTCTCCAGAGCTGCCTCTTGTGGAGGCTCTTTCACCAGCAGGAGCATAATGAAGCTATTGCAGGGCTGCACCTTTACGGTCTACACACACACACATATACGCTGATGAAAGCAGCAAGAAAGATAGCCAGAATAAGGCACGGGTAGGATTCTGATAATTTTATAAGAGTCCTTTCACGAGCAAAATACTATGATTTGTAATTAGTTAATTTTGGGTTAGATCGTCATGTAGGTTAACACCTGATGAATTCACTGCTGGCTGTAATCGCCATCGAAAAGTACAACATTGTCAATATTTTCTTTATTTTAAACATTCCTCCGGTTTTGGTGAAAAACAAAATAATTTAGAATATTTTCCCACGTAACAACTTCATTGTATTGCCTCTGTTGGGTGGTGGAGGGTTTTACTTAAACCATTGACATCATACCTACACGACAATTTTAGTTTGTTTTCCATCCCCGCACCTCCGATTAGCATGGTTAGCTACGTACGGAGTAAAAGAAATTCAACTTACATACATCTTACCAAAAATAAACTGATCATGAGTCAGGATTGTTATAGGTGTGCACAGCGTACACACGGTGTGTGGGTACACAGCCACTAACGGCACCACGACGATCGTCACTTTCCTGTCCAGGCCCCGTGTGCGCTGGGGTCGTGGGGCTCAAGATGCCACGGTACTGCCTGTTCGGGGACACGGTGAACACCGCCTCACGCATGGAGGCCAAGGGAGAAGGTAGGTGGAGCCAGAAGTTTGCTGCCCATTGCCGCTGACATACGCTACGCATTTCCACACGTGTGGGTCAAATGTAATGCAGTTGGAGTTTATTTTTGGGTTGGTGAATTGTAAATATTTATATATTTTTGAAATTTATATTTTTATTCATTTTGCATGGGTGCCACTACCAGCTAGATTGATTAATGTTTATTTTTTTTCAGAAATAACTTTTGGGGTTATTTTATCCGTTTGGCAGCCCATGATGATTTTATTTAGGTAATATTTCAATTATTTATTTATTATGCATGGATGCACGTTTTAAATGGGACCTATCACCCGATGTGCAATGTACCTTTTAAAAATAATAAAACACTATAATTGAATAGCTGTCAGACGTTTACTTCCATAGTAATGCAAGTGGTCAAACATCCCATATCAAAGCCTCACTGAATCTCCAGGCTCCAAACTCAGTGATCCCTTCTTATGAAAATTGTATTCATGATCGGCCTTGGTCTATCCACTGCTGAATGAAGGCCTTGCCACTTGTGTTGCTGTTCCTCGCAGCCTTGCGAAGCCGCAATCCAACTCACTCCGGTACAAAAAACGATTCCGTCACTCTGTCTCCTTTCATGCACATCCTCTTCTTTGGCTGCAATTTCGTCACGAGGATCATTCAACTGTCATCCCTTCTAGCGACGCGTTTTGCCCAAGCCCAATTACTAAACATTTGCGCTTGTTCCCAGATCCATATGCTTCTTTTCTCTTTTCTGCGTGTAAGTCCAAGCAATTCATTTATCTATACTTCCTCGCACACTTTTTAGCTTTTGTTCCATCTTCTTTGTCAAGTGACCTTATTTAGTGTACTATATGCGTGTATGTTAAACTTCTTTCACACCACACGTAGCCAACCGTGCTAACCGGAGGTGCGTGGGAAGGACAACAAACTCAACACAAAAAGCAGTTCTCAAGAAATGAGTTTGCAATCGAGATTTTAAAGTGCATAGCTCCAGTGGCTTCCTAATATCGGAAGGAAGAGCGTTCCAGGTGGCCGCAGAAACGCATCTGCAATACGCAATGATTATAATATTTGATTAAAATTAGTTATTTTTACATAATTACCTCCTGTTATTGCTCGATGAATCACTCCATGCACGGACCAACCTCTCACTGAGTCTCGAGACGCGTTCTTCAGGAGGGCTGTGCCTGGGATTGTTAATTGCAGTTGTAACCCTCGTTTATTAATAATTCCTGGGGAGTTTTTTTCTTCCAGGCACTGTATTTGGTCAGGTGAGTTGCACTAAAAGCTGCAAGATTATTGATCGTGGCCGGTGTGTTTTTTTACAGCTCACAGAATTCACCTTTCTTCAACAACAAAAGCCATCTTGGATGAATATGGAGGATTTGTGGTGCAGTTACACGGGGACGTGGACATAAAGGTAAAGCTGAAAAGGACGCAAGGATGTATTGTTTATGTATTTAGACTGCAATAAATTAGATTACCACATTATGTAATAGTAAATAAATAATTGTGGCTGGGTGGTGCAGGGGCTAGAATAGCACGTGACTCTCAGTTCGAAGGCCGGCGAGTTAAAATCTTGGACAGGGTTCCACTCATACTCTTGGTTCCACTCAACTCATCATCCTTGGGGGGTTCATAAAATGAGTAGCACTCTGCTGCAGTGTATTTCCCACAACTGGCTCAGAGTTGTACGCAGGAGTTCTGCTCATAGCTAGCTTGAGCAGGTGACCACTTTGACCACTGAACTTATTTTGGTAAAATACTTGTACAAGGCACACGTGTCACTGGTATTGGATTTCACCTGCTTCTTTGTGTTTTAGTCACTCTCAATGGGAGGATAAACACTGATTTCAATGATGATGATGGCAACAATATAATTGTAAAATGGAGAATATAAAAAACACAGACAACATGTCTCATTCATACCGCATAGTCAGCGAAGGACCATTGCGCCAAACGTGTGACCTCTTGCGACAACATTCACATAAACAGCTTTTGCTTGCTGCCATACACCGGTGTCTCGAGTGATTTGTTTGATCCACGGATCATGGGGGCAATGTGTCTCCTTCACGTATGCTTATTTTTTATTGTTGAGCGGCATAGCAAGCAGCGTTATGAATATCTCTCTTTCCCATAGCCCACGGGCAAGTTAATTTGCGGTTCACTGTCACAGCTGATCGAAGAAGGCGAACAGGGGGGACACTGAGTGAATGACTGAGAGGAGCGATCCAGTTACACGGAGAGCGAATTGCTTTATTTTATCTATTATAGCTCAGCGCGACACCTGACACTGGCGGAAGAACGAGCGTCGGTCGATCGATGCCTTTTTTTGTCAGCATCCACGGGGAAGAGAAGCTGCAACACGGCAATGGTGGATGTTAGAAATGCAAAACAAACAAAAAATCATGGAATATGGCACTCACTGAGCGTAGGTCAACAACGATTAAACTCCCGTCTCGCTGCCTTCCCATTACTGCAGTTGTTTTATCCGTACAGCATTCCCTAATGGCGTGTAAATTGGTAAATGATGCACGACACTGCTCGCTTGTTTCGTGTTAGTAAACGGCACAGGAGTTCATTAATGAACATGAGGAATGCACGGTGACTTCAGTTGAACAGGCCCTGCCACTAACGACACATTGATTAAGCTGGCGTTACATACATTGAATTGTACGTGTATGAACCAATGTTTTTCAATTCATATTTGTTGTCGCTATCTGTCCAGCAGTGGGTAGATGAAGACAGATGAAGATTATACGTTTATGCAATGGGTTCACATCGTCCCTGAATCCACTCGAGGTGATATAGGGGCGTTGTCAAAGATGTACAAATAAGATTTAAACCGAGACAAAAAATATAAGTTTGAATAAAATCGTGGCAATTCATCAAACTGCTGTAAGCAGCAGGTCGAATGTCGTATCGAAATTACTGACCCCCTACCTAAAGTATTGTGGAATTTCCACCATTGTCGCATGGCCGCTGGTGGAGAGGAGCACTTCTGATCGTGTCGATACTCCGACTTTGGTCTCAACAGCCTGCAGTTCGTGCAGTTCTATATCCGTTCTAAATTGGTGTCCAAATCAACAACATCGATTGCTCCGAAGGTCACAGAGCGGTGACTTGCAGACCTCCCGTCCTCCACCGATGGCTCAGTCATTGGGGAGTTTAAGTACCGCCTTGGCGCAATGGCCCGACCGTTAGAGTGAGGTTGTGCTTCTTGTGACTCCTATTAAATTAGCTTTGACCACACGGCTGACCCCCCCCCTCCACCCCCCATGAAAGAAAAAGCACTCACCGGTCTCAGGAGCTCGCTGATGGCACTTGACCCAGCTGCCTTGTATAGCTTAAGTTGGAGGTGTGCAGTAGATAGCAGTACTGTGTTGTGTTCTTCTTTCGTACGGGTAAAGTGAAATCTGCAACTTCAACTGTGTATGTCTCCAGGTTATTAATTTTAATTGTGTATGTCGAGGTAGGTTGTGTTGACCCAACTGAGCAGATTTTTGTTGAGTTGCTATGCCCTCATGTGCATGGGTTTATTTATCCTGGCATGCACACAAAATATAATTCAATATGGAATGGGCCAGACTTCCAAATTGTTACGGGACCAGCTTGGTGTCATTATTTGTAAAAAAATAAAATAGCAATCGAGTGCCAACACATTGGTCCAAATCCCAAATGTGACTTTAATAACAAAAATTAAGCGACAATAAAAAAAAAATTCTTACCATTGGACTACCGGAACGAAGATTGCAAAAACAAACAATTTTAACCTCTTACATGGTTAAATAAAGGTACAATGACTAGCCAAATCGCTCATTTCCCATCGATTGTATGCACACATAGCTGGCCAAGCCGTACCATAGCCTCATTGCCTGCAGGAGTTCAATGCTCTCAAGTCCTCCAATCAGTCTGCTCAGAGGGTAATCCTCCTCCACGTGCTCCTTCACATTGTGCGTCACAGTCTGCACCTGTCCTGATTTACAGCCTGGGCTTTTCCCAGATGCCCCACGTGGCCTCGCTGGCCACACAATGGATGACCTTGCTCAGCATGAATGCGATTGTGCAGAGCCTGCGCACGGGGAGGCTACAGGCAGTGGTGGTGCTTGTTCACCTTGGGGTGGGGGGGGGGCGCTAAGCAGAAATTATATCTTGGTGTGTGGTGCGTCACCTGACCCACAAACATTATATGATGGACAAGTAATGTAATTATATCGCAGTTGTGTACAATAATTACGGTAATAGATGAATGACATTTACAATTATTTTTACAGTGGCTTTTACAATAATGAACTGGTTATTTTTCATATAAGGTCCAAGTTCTCGCTGATAATTTGCACATCCACGTGTTTTTTCCACGAATCCAAGGCCCCTTGAGCTATTTTGGGGCCTGAAACTTTATCTTGGTTTGCTTATGCCTGGTGCCACGAGTGGCTGCGGCTCAAAAACCGGAGTCTGATGAGAAAATATTTGGTTACGCTTAACGAGACCCGTTCTGCCCTTGAGAAACGACTCTTAACAATGAGTGAACTTGTGTGTGTGTGTGGGCATGCGTCTCTCTCACCAGGGCAAAGGAACCATGCGTACTTACTGGCTCCTAGGCGAGAATCCCACGGTGTCAGGTGTGCCGTGAAGAGGTCCTTCGGCACCTCCTCCTCATCTCTCACCTCTTCTGCCTCGTTTTTTCTCGCCACCGCCGCCGTTGGTCGGCGAAGGTGGCGCGCGCGGCGCCACCCGTGTGCCGTGGAGTGCGAGCGTTGGAAGTTTTGCGTAAGCGAGAGGATGGTGGTTTTTGCTCACAAAAGTATCGTAGTTTCCGTTTCGGAAGAAGGGGATTGCTAATGTTGAGACCGTGTAAAATCTCCCGACTAGACTACAGACTGCCGGGAGCAGATGATTTTAGGACAATGTTGCTCCCAGTGCTGATGTTTACGCACCGCTCCCAGTACTGATTTGAGGCTCAGTCCACCTAGGAGTGGCCCAGGATAAGTTCAGATTCCACTCGTCATTGATGTTATCCAACGCTGGGAATCAGACACTGTGTTCGTGGTGCAGTGTGCTAAATGAGGTAAGGCGCGGCGGTGCGTGCTGTGCTGGTCTTAATAGGCAATCGCTACGGCACTTGTCCACCCCTACAGTCTGGAAAGATAAATATGGATACTTTTTCTATACACACAGTCACACACGTGCACGCATACTCAGAGGTACGAACAAGCCTCTGTTTATCATATACACGCAATTTATGGGCAACCTGTAGTGGTTATCCTCTGGCGTAACTGCCTCCATCCACCACTGGGTTCGTACTACCAACTGAGATAGCTGCTGCCTTGAGCTCTTTTGAGCAGAAAGACATTTTGTCTTTCTTTATTTTCCAGGGTGAGTGCTCTTGGTGAGTGCCTATTAAGGAAGATGTGGTGTACAGTGAGGGGTGGTTTTGACCAGCATCACCACATCAGCTAAGCCTATTCATTGAAGGCTGAGTTGACCATGTCCCACGGTGTACATGGTCAGCAGATATAAGCGTATATATTAACGTAAACAACACTATAATTGGGGAACTCCTCCAGTATTGTAAAAAAATAAAATGTTACTTAGTAACAGTTTCGTAAATAGTAGTTTTTTAAATGTAATGATGGACAGTCAAGAGAGTTGAGTGCTGAAATGAAGGAATGTACACATGCTTTCTTCTGTACCGTAGTTAGCCCAGACGCTGTCCGTGTGCAGCAGTGAGATGGTTTGTGGCATCTCATAACCGTGAGTGGCGGTGATAGCGTGGGGAGGCCTTCATCCAGCAGTGGATAGACCATGCCTGATACTGATGACGATAATAATATGAATGCCATGTTTAAAACATGAGTCAAATGTATAAGTCAACCTCTTTTTCTGTATCTCACATCGAAATATGTTTGAGACCTTCGGTCTACCGACCTTTCAAAAATGATGTTATCGAGCAGCATTTCAGTATAGTAAATTTCGGACCAGTTTAGATTTTCTGGGTCAAAATAAATGGAAGGTCAATGGGTCTAGAAAGTCGAGAAGGTCTTGACATCAATGTCTAAACACATCGTATTTCTATGCGGAGATACAGATAAAATGTTGTTTTGTTTATTTAATTAACGAAAGTACTTAGTTACGCATATTCAGTTGCATTGAAGCCGAAAACAAGTTCATTAGAAAAAATCACGTAAATTTATTTTAACCATGATAGACCACTTGTATACATATTTTGTGGATCCCCTTCAAAGGCCAGCGCTCTCCTCATGCATCGATACATCACTGCCAGCGATTGCATAGCTCTTGGGAGCAGCCCTGGAAGTCTTCAGCATGAAAAACCTCTGAAGTAACCTCACCCCATTCGCTCCGACATTCTCTGTCTTCACAACCAGTATTGTGCGTCGTATTTTCCATGCAGGTTGTGGTGCAACACAGCAAAATAAACGTTCAGAGAGCAAATTCCCCCAGTTCAACACGAGAATTTGATTCATAATTGATTGTTGGATCGGTTCGCGTGAGTAAAATATGTCGTAAATCCCCCCTCCACCCGACACAACCAATGAATAAATGTGTGACGTCATGAACAAACTTGCCATGTTATTAATATTTCAGCGCACCGATGTGTTGGACAGCAATCCACGACGTTTCACAGTTCCGTGCGACGTTTCGCTGGTAGTTGCAACCAACGTCATCGGTGCAGTTGCACGAAATGTGGCAACTGAAGGAGGGTTTAAGACACATTTTACTTGCGTGCATTCGAAACCCAAAAGTTAATTGTGAATCGTAACATCGGTCGCAAACGCCTATGCGATGCATTTACTAAATTTGATGGAGCATCATTGCTGCCTCGCCACAATGGCTCACAAGGTGCCGAATTCATACTGACGGGGCCGCACGTATGTGACTCTGCGTGTACACTACATTTTCAGCAGCCATGAGAAACGTCTAGAGTTACTTTTAGCTCGTAGAGCATTCCATTTCTATCGTCTCTTCAACTCCAAATAAAGTAATTCCACGAATGTTTTGACCGAACCTCCTATCTAGCAGAGGTGTGGACTCGAGTCATGTGACTTGGACTCGAGTCAGACTCGAGTCATGAATTTGATGACTTCAGACTCGACTTGGACTTGCATAACAATGACTTTGTCCCACCTCTGAGGTGTGGACTCGAGTCATGTGACTTGGACTCGAGTCAGACTCGAGTCATGGATTTGATGACTTCAGACTCTACTTGGACTTGCATAACAATGACTTTGTCCCACCTCTGCTATCTAGTCATACCTTCACAATATTAGGCAATCACTATTCATATTGTGCAAACAACTTTTTGGTTGATATTGTCATTCTGAGAATTTGTTTATCGCTTGTTGTCATATACAGTATATTTATACATCACTTACATACTCAGTAACACGAACATACTTACAAAGATGGAAAAGTCCAAAAATAGTGAATTTAACGAGTAATATGTTTGCTGTATTAGAATGAACACCAATAGACAATCAGGTTGTACACAAATGGGGGCACTGTGACTATGGCCTTTACATTACCAGAAACCAAATGCCTAACATATATTTATGCAAGTAAAGCGATATTTTATTTTATAGACTTATTTTTAATCGATCAAAGTTATTGTTTTGAATGTGGTTTATTGAACAATAATGTACATGTTGTAAATAAAATATGGCTATAAACTGAGATATGCGTCCTCAGTGTTTTCTTTGACTTTGTCACTCCCGTTTAACCACAAGGTTTACAACATGATAACAGGATGTGAAATATTGTTATTTGATTCGTAATAATATTGCCATTTATGTATTGAATAATGGGCAACACGGGTGACAACCACTTGCACAACATTGCTTCAGAAAATGTGTTTCTACCATAGATTACAAACATACTATCAAGATTGTAGAAGAAAGAAAATACAACTCAGGAGATGTGTTTTCACCACGGCAATTCAGTGACAATGGAGGTCGTATCATGAAAATAAGATTGGAAACGTAACATAGTTATTATTATCCTGACATTCGATAACATGCAAAAGTCATTTGGTCTTAATGGGCTCACAAATGGTGATGAATACAATTCACGCACAAGTGTCTTGTATGAATGCACGTGTGTGTTGCAGTGAAGCCTCTGGAGTCTGTCAATGGACAACGGTTTATATTTGTCGATAATGAGCAGGGGTTGTCTTTTGGATGGACTTGTCCTTACGATGAAAATGTGGAATTTCCATCACTCGATTAAGGCCACAAAACGGAGATGCGCACTGCCCAGTCCTAGTTTCATCCGGGAGAAACGGATTTAAATGTACGGTACTGAATACATTTCCAATGCTTCCTATATATGTGCACGACGTATCATTTCATGGACATTGTTCATGAAAGGTCTCCCGCTATGCAATTCGTATCGGTTGTACCTTCATATAAAGGACATTCTTATTTGGCGTTAAAAGCTTAGTTAAGTTGAGCTACGTGAAACAAACTAGGCTGCCACAGGACACACGATGCAGACTGGATATTGAATAAAAGTCTATATTTAGCCTCGACGTTCATGGATAATCCGTGAGTGGCGTGTGGTGAGTATCGCGTGCTTTCTAAAAATTGCCGGCTTAAAATAAATAATCATCTACCCTTCGCTGGGAACTGGAAACCGGACTGGCCTTGTCAACACGGAGTGAGTTCAGTTCTTTCTATTCGAAATCTGTTATACACGCACTAGCACATTCAATGCAGAACTGTGAACACGTGGATGACGGGTTTTACGACGGTTAATGACCACACGTATCTCAAGGCAGTCGGTCATAGGCGATATAATTGATGTCATTGTTATTCCTGCACGGCTGTTCGCTGGCCATAACGCCTGCGCCAAGACGTATAGCTAGAATAAGACTCACGTAAGCCAGCGAGAGAGGGTGTGATTTAAAGCGCACTTCAACAGCCTTTTGCCAAGCGTGCATTCTTTAATTTCGAATGCACGTTCCTTCGCTCGTGAATGGGTCTGTGAAGCAGCGATGCTCCTTGCCGTGAGCCCACCAGCGGCGTGCAGCTCGTGCCTGAACGCGGTCAACGAGTGGCTCTTCATCTCCAACGCTCACTCGGCCTGCTGCCCCGACCTCCTCGACGCAGCGGGCATCACCCTCCTCATCAACGTGTCACGGCTTCAACCCTTCCCACCGGGGCCGGCTCCGGGGCAAGGTCAGGGGCAGAGGGTCTGCATCCGCGTGCCCGTGTTCGATGAACCCAGCGAGTCACTGGGGCCGCACCTGACCCCGTGTGCGGATGCCATAGAAGAGGAGAGGGTCCGTGGAGGACGGACCTTGGTCTACTGCAAGCACGGCCGCAGCCGCTCGGTGGCGGTGGTCACGGCATATCTCATGCGGCACGGGGACCTCTCGCTGCGGGCCGCCTTTCAGGTGGGGGGGCCACGAGAAACCAACTCCTCCCTCCTGCCCATCACCCCCCCGGGGACTTGTGTTGATTTGATCCCCGGACAGATTTGACGAGGACAGGAATTGGTTACGTAATTTGTTTTAGTGGCAGGAATTCATTTCTATCGAGATCTGGTACCGGTATGCTGTTGAACTTTCGTAAATCTTTCTGCACAGTTTTTATAGATCACCTCCGATTAGCACGGTTGGCTACATACAGTGCTTAGGAAGTTGAACATGTGGTACATACGTCGGCTGACTGAGAATTGGCAATGTCGGTAACCGTATCGCCAACCTCTGATATTGGGATATCTCCTCAATATTCCCAATATGGCTTATCCATGGATTCGTACTCAGGATTTTAAAATTGTCAGCCCATTGATTTCACTTGGATATTACTACCCAGAGGCATCCAGTCACATCATTTGAAATTAAATATGTTAAATAGATGGGTATGGGATTCTTAACAACCATCTTCCAGGGCAGAAAACGCATACAGTATACAACTAAATGTGAGAGTGATAGGGATGAAATGGATCTCACAAAAGTGTTTATCAAGCTAATCTCCACCAATAATCATGACGGGTGGAATTGCCTTCCATGACTTGATGTTGTTTAACAACAAAACTCAACACAATATTCAAAAACACTGTCTTAAAGGAAATATAAATATGTATGATGTGGATTAGGGCAGTGATTGCCAACCTGTATGTATGTTGAACTTCTTTCGCACCATACGTAGCCAAACGCGCTAATCAGAGGTGCGGGGGAAGGACAACAAACTAAACACAAAATGCAGTTTAATAGAAATGAGCGAGATAAGTTCAACATACATACAACGCTATGGGGAGTGGCTCGTGGAACTCTTGCAGATATGATATTTTATTAATAAACACCATATTTTTTTGTTATTCCGAAAATATATATTCCAAAAACGTTCGGAAATACTGCATCAGAGGAAGATGCAGCCCAAAAACGAATATCTTATCTTGTAGCCACACACCTAGGATGTGTGTCCCAAATGAGATTTCAGCTTGGTTAGTAATTATATTAAAAAAAGACTTTAACCATCGTCAGGAGGACTCTAATCACATCACTGCAGTGACACATTAAAATTCCAAGACAGGCATCACGACAGAGTCCCTCGCGGAGAATTTAAATATTTGTTTTTCATCAACGCAGCTTAAGACTAGTGTCAGGCAGCCCGTCACTCAGCCGAGCCATCTTACCTATAAGACAGTCCAGTACCAGTCCATGCTATGGACATGGCAAATCCTCGTATAATCTACAATCCGTAATAGAACTGCATTGACTCAAGTTTTGGTATTCTTAGGTTTTTTCGGTAAAGTCACGTAGGTAAAAATTTATTAAAATTAAAATTAATAAAAGTAAAATAAAAATAAAATAAAAATCACGATGTTTCCCCCCTCAACCAGTATATATACAAGGTCGGATCTCTTAGAATTTCTCATTTACATGATACAGCAAGCGTGCTGTGACGGTTCCACCTGAAGACGGAAGCTTGTGTTGCCTCCAAAACGTCGTGATTTTTATTTTATTTTTATTTTACTTTTATTAATTTTAATTTTAATAATGTTTTAACCTACGTGACTTTACCGAAAAACCTAAGAATATGAATCCTTGCAGTCACGAAAGCTTCAAATCTAGAATCAAGTTTTGGTGACTGTATTTTTGACCTAGGTCAAAGTTCATAGGTCGTACGTATCTAATCGTAAATACCATATGTCTCTAGTTCCTTCTGGTCAGAGTTAGCCCCTTATAAGACTCTACGTGACAAAAAATGTATGTGCAATGTGCTGTGGCTGACAGACTGACCTCAAGCCGGACGAATACAATTTCTTCTATAGTACAATTGTGGACTGGAGGGCGTCCGGATGAGTACCCTGGCTCTCCCTCGTTGCGTCTGCCCTTCTCGCAATCGGCTTCACCCCCACCCTCATTTCTCACTGGCTCCAACATCCCCCGTTGGCCCCGCCCTTCCCCCCCCATCAACCCACATCGCCACGTCCTCGCTATACGTTGGGGATGCATCCCTGGTGAACTTCGACGCGAGGCGAATCAACGGGAAATCTGAATTAGTTACCATGGACTTAATGATATCGCTTTAGTTAACGTTCCTGGGGGTAGTTTTTTGGTCAAAATTTACAGAAAAATATAACATAACGAAAAAGATACCCGAAAAAAGATGTTATAAAAACAAGTTTGAATTAATAAGTGAATACAGAGTACTCATCAGAGATGGTGGCGGAGATTGCATTTAGAGGCCTGGTGTGGACTGAAGGGGAGTTGAGTTTCAGTGTGGCCAGCGATCTTGTAAACACTGAGAATTGAGAGCCCGCTTGGAAGAGCTGTGGTGTATAGTGCGTCGTCACGTACGCTGCACAAGCTGCTGCCTTCTTTAATTTCAATTCTTCAAAACGACGTCGTGAGTTTTACACCAAATTACGTCCATAATTCGCTTGTGACGCAACAATGAAAGAGCATAAATCTGAGCAACGTAAATAGCGGACTTGCTGTAATGTGTTTTGTTTTGCTTGTTCCTCTCTGTCATCACTACCCCCAGAAGGTGAAATCGGTGAGACCAGCCGCAAGTCCCAATGAAGGCTTCTGGAGACAACTGCTGCAATACGAGGCTCAGCTGATGTGTGGAACAGAGCCAGTGGCCGTGGGGAGCACTTCTGGAGGAGCGAGGGGCACCCTGGCCTCCCTGTGATCAACTTAGCAGAGCATGAAATAGCAATGGGGTGGGGGCAAGTGGCGAGCAGTCATAAATGTCGGGCATTTGAATAGTTTATGATGTTTTTGTTCTGTATGACTGAGAGAATGGGATCCAATGGAGCAAGGCAACCCGACCCAAGGTTTGTACCCACAATCCCAGTGGTTCCTGACTCGGTGTACCCGACACCTAACAGACGGAGAGACACCAAGCTCAGGAATTGAACCCCAGTTCCTCGGTGGTGCCATTATGAACCACCTCAGAGACACATAGAACCATAGATTTAAGTATATATTGGTGTCTCTAAAGCTAACAGGACCCTGCGGGGTGGGCTGGTAGGAATAATACTTAGTACCGGTACAGAGATATCGACCGGGTATAGAGGAGTTAAAGAAAAAAATTACTGTATTCTAGTGTAACGTTAATTAAAAGTGTTTGTTTTGACAAGAAACGCTGTGAGATTTAAAGACTCGTAGTCTTTCATTTCCAACACCACCCTCAACACCACCCCTCCCACGGACGGACGGACGGACGGACGGACGGACGGACACATTAATCTATTGGTGGTCTGGTCCACTTCGTTCCTACCAGTATAAGAACATCCTTAGAAAGAGGAACACGCAGGTGCAGGAATTAAACCCAGGATCTTAGAAATGTAGTTTCTCGCTATGTGTTGCTGACAAGGCCACCTCACAGTCCATTGGGTTTCAGAGTTTTACAAATCTACATAACCCACAAACTCTTGCCCCCCCCCCCCCCCCCCCCCACCAAAGCACTGTATTACAGATGTGTAATTCCACACCTAACTATAATAAAAACAGGCTGGATGAATAATGCCGATGTCAGCCCTAGTCTAGCGTATGTCTGATGCAACTCTATGAGTACCTATTCTGTGGCCTTGCAAGCGTTGCAACATTCACACCACCACGATCACCATGCCCTATACCCGTCCCGTTTTACCATCATCCAAAATAGTTCGGCTTTTGGTGAGAGCGGTGCACCACTAGGGCCCTGTTGGGAATCCAGCCCCGTGACGTCTCAAGTTGCATTTCAGAGCAGGGCTGGCATAACGCATTGCAGATACAGGGCGTTTCAGGTCGACGCTCCATACACACATACGCGATGCACATGTGTGTGTGTATATGAATGTGCAATAACAGTGTGTGTGTATATATAACAGCGGTTCGCATACTGTGCTACAATTGCGACAACCTGGGTTTGATGCACAACATGAGGAGCAAGCGGTGTCCGGATTTGTCTTGGACTGTGGCAGCACTCGGGAGACATCGGTGGCTAGGCATACATTTGTCCAAGCTACATTATTTCTGACTCCTTGTCTGCCAAGACTTAGTAGGTGCTGCTCATAGCACTTGACACGTATGATATTGCCAAAAAACTCATTAATAGAAATGACTAAACATCACAATGCAACATCCTCTGAAAAAAACATCCTAACGACCCAGTGAGGTTTTTTTGGGTAAATAATTGGCACTTATTATTGTTACTTGATACCACCATTTATTCGACTTAATGGGAGATCTTTGTATGTATATGTAAGCGGTTTTTTGTTTTCATGTGTAATTTTTTCCGAGTGCATGAAAGCATATTTGTTGGGCTGTGCAACGCTTTCAAAAGCACTAGAGCCACCCGAAGTACAGACGTCATATTTTAGATATTGTTGCAGCCACATTGTGGAATTGTTCATCATTATCTTCACACATGCCGCGGAGGCTTATTTCTCATTTAATTTCATGGCGTTTTGTGCGACGCACACGCGCCACACCAAAACACGCCACGTTCAAACGCAGTGAATTCGTTGTTCTTCTTTGACGCCCGATAACACACTCAATTATTGCCACGTACACATGCCGTCATCGGTTTTAAAGTACTGTAGCTAAATGGCCAATGTTTTCATTGGACGGAGGTGTGAAGTGCATAAACGCTAATGGTGTAAAATTGTTACGCGAAAAAATTGATTACTGCTTTTACTTTACAAACAACCGGATATCACAAGGATCATTTATCAAATTGAACATATGACCTCAAAATATTTTACGCACGTTTACACAACTCAAAAGGGTACACTGCATGTAAATGTCACGCACAAATGTGTACTGCTGTAAAGTAAAGGGGTGCGGGAGGGAGGGGAGTTTTCCATGAGTGCTGAAGAAACCCACTGGTGCACAAAAGGAAAACAAATATTCTCCCACGCAGTCAGACAGCTGAGAACACATTTTAGGGTTCGTTAGGGATACATAAATGGCATGCTTAAAACTGATATTGCCAAACTTGTTTAATAAAATCCATGTCAATGATCATAACAACAAGTTGGGGATACACCAACCTATTTAACAAATGAGAACGTTTGACTGCAGCACGGATATGATTCGTCTGAAATTATTGCACCCCCCCCCCACTGCCCCCTATTAAGTAGGCGCATAATCCATCGAGGGGAGGGTCGGGAAAGGATGGACAGTTATTACAAAGTACAACCCGTTGTCAATCCACTTGTAGAGAAAGGCAGAGGTGGGACAAAGTCATTGTTATGCAAGTCCAAGTCGAGTCTGAAGTCATCAAATTCATGACTCGAGTCTGACTCGAGTCCAAGTCACATGACTCGAGTCCACACCTCAGAGGTGGGACAAAGTCATTGTTATGCAAGTCCAAGTCGAGTCTGAAGTCATCAAATTCATGACTCGAGTCTGACTCGAGTCCAAGTCACATGACTCGAGTCCACACCTCAGAGGTGGGACAAAGTCATTGTTATGCAAGTCCAAGTCGAGTCTGAAGTCATCAAATTCATGACTCGAGTCTGACTCGAGTCCAAGTCACATGACTCGAGTCCACACCTCAGAGGTGGGACAAAGTCATTGTTATGCAAGTCCAAGTCGAGTCTGAAGTCATCAAATTCATGACTCGAGTCTGACTCGAGTCCAAGTCACATGACTCGAGTCCACACCTCAGAGGTGGGACAAAGTCATTGTTATGCAAGTCCAAGTCGAGTCTGAAGTCATCAAATTCATGACTCGAGTCTGACTCGAGTCCAAGTCACATGACTCGAGTCCACACCTCAGAGGTGGGACAAAGTCATTGTTATGCAAGTCCAAGTCGAGTCTGAAGTCATCAAATTCATGACTCGAGTCTGACTCGAGTCCAAGTCACATGACTCGAGTCCACACCTCTGGAGAAAGGCATCACCACGTCACGTCTATCACGGGGGTGCGTCGATCATATTTCACCCCAAAAGTCAAAGTAGTTTGGGGAGGTGACCGGCGGCACATGCTAAGTTTAGTTTGACAAGCTGCTGGTGATCAAATTCACCGAGTGAAGTTCATGGTGCAGTACATTAATTACCGCACCACCTCTACCCCGAGGACAGTCATTACACGGCTGAATTTATAATCTGACCTAAAGTACCAGCACGTCCCAAATGCCTCCGTGTGCAGAATAACTTTTTTTTTTATCAAAGGAGCAATGAATGGGTGGTGCTTATCCACCATAGCATCAGCGAGGAGAACACCGAGCGATGGAAATTTCACATTTCTGAGCCATGAATATATAGAAGAAGTTACAATTCAATGGACAATAGTGCTCTATACACACACTCAACAGTTCCTTGCAAAAATGATATTCTGTAACGACGCAATCAGTAACGATTTGGATTGCCGTTGTATTGCATGGCGATGCATGCGCACAGTTTGAATCGTAACAACGAACATGAACTAAGCCGACAGTCGTCATAATTAGCCTACAATTTTCACAAGCTCAGCTGCAGTTACAACCATTACTTGACGTGCAATCTGAATTGTGACTCATCAAATTAACCCTGTTTGTGATGGAAAGCAGGCAGGCTACACATAATCACATATATAGGCTTTAACATAGCTTCAACGTAAGATATTTTCATTTAGAAACGTAGAGGCATTGATTGATGAGATTTTGTCCAATTTAAACACTTAGCGTTTCATTCTATAACATATTGCGCCATGTCCTACATCATATGACTTGAAGCAATATATTTTCTCCGGGCCACCATTAAAAATGGGGTATATTGTCAAGTGAGCTCTCAGCTGGTCATATTATTCTATTATTACATCTATACTGCATAATTCACCGTCAGTCATGTTCTATCTACTGACACTTCATACGGTCTCAAGGGTGCGTTCTTTCCTGTGGTTGCCACCCCATTTGCAGGCCGACTAATTGGCCACTAAGGGACAACAATCGCAGTGGTCCACAGCATACGTTACATTCATCAGGAAAATAACACAACCATAATCTAGAGCCAAAGATCTACCATTGGGCAAGGGACTAAAGAAAAATCTTCTCGAATGTCTCACGAATCAGAAGACACGTGAAATAATAGGGTTGTACGCGGTGCTTAATGTCATCCTGAACAGCCCGGAGCATTGTTCCGGAAATAATTTTTGCACGCCAAATTCATCTCAAATTATGTTGTCCTCACGATACTGTGGCGGGTTGTAGGAATATAGGGTACAATTAGTAGTATGTGCATTAATATACCTTGCACTCGAGTGCTAGTGAATTATACCGATTATTTTATTTATACCTCAAACCAGGCTAGCAGCTTTGAACAAACTAACGAGTGAGAAATTAAGCTCTGCTTGTACCTCGGTGCTGGGTGAGATAAAAAAAAAAAGAAATCAGCAAGATGGACCTGGATTGGACACGAGATGAAAATGGACTTGGATCAGATTGCAAAAGAGCATTCATGAGAAAGAGCAAGATGGCAACAGCATAGAGCAGACCTAATAAACGTTAGTTCGGTTGTGTCCGGGAGGACGTGATATATCTGGGGATGGGAATGGAACAAGCAGACGGGGTCATGAGAAACAAGAAGCGGCGGAGGAAAGTGCCAAGGTAAATCCAACTGCAGCTGATGGGAATAAGACGAATAGGGAGATTGGTAGTGGTGCACGAATGCAAACAAAAATATATCAGCATATTTATCATGAACATGGTTTTAGAACGAATTTTTTTTGCAATACAACGTTTGGACAATGGTCGTTCGTCATACTGGCAGTACTATTGTCATTATAATCTGACTACTAACAATGCGTTCTCTTAGACTGTAAAAGAAATCTACTTTTATCATTATACCATGTAAGGCCCACTGGGCTTTTTTTCAGAAGTGACCTGACCACAAACGATAATTCAACGAAGTGGCTCATCATGTGGAAAATTACACCAGCCAACTATTATACACGCATATGATAGAGATGCAATAGACTAATATTTTGAGCAGAAAGGACCATTGCACAAAACGTTAATCTGCAAATAATTTTTCTCTTATGTGGCAGTGTTAATAAGGATTTTTTGTGTTGCATTGTTGGCTGTGACATATCCTGTAAATAATGGTAATGCCAATTCATTAGCACTGGCATTTCACGAGTTATTTCCATTCCATTATTGTATTAGCACAGCGGGAATTTCCGATATAGCAGTCATTTACAGGAATATGATTGCTGCAAGAACACCATCTAAACTCAAGTTGTACTTAATTAAGTTGGACTTCATTTTAACAAAATACTTTAAGGAAAAATTCGAGTTCAACAAAATTAAGTAACACATCAAAACTCGAGCGCATTTTAAGACTGGGAGATCCGAAATCTCCTAAAATATGAAACGAAACTAATCGTACTTGACTCCAAATGGATCTGTAGAAATTGTTTTCGACAGGGGTGATTCATCCATGTTCACCGCGTTTTTTTACGGATAAAAGACGTGGTCACTAAATTGATCTCATTGCTTTTTCACAGATAAAAAAAAAGTCACACAAACTCTATGCATCCGCAATAATTCTGTGGATAACAGGATAACTCCTCTGAACCGCGAATTTACTTATCCACAAAACAAGCACCCAACATCGATGTTTTTATTCACAAACGCAAATGCACTTGAAGAGTTCCACAGAAGGTAACGGTGCAAGTTGTGCAACCCTCTGACCTCTTGTTCATGTCAATGCCTGCGAAAGGGGCCTTCAAAAGGTGGGATGGGTACCCACACTTTACCCCACCACACACAAACTATCGATAAAGCCTGCGGTGCACCCATTTATACTGCTGTGGGAGTTAAAATATAAGAAACTTGTATCATTATTTCAACTACCGCGCCGGGGAATCGAACCGGCGATCTCTGTACAGCAAGCCCAGTGCCCGCACCATTACACCAGGCAACATAAGACTTGGTGATTCGAACTGACAGGCATCATCAATTTTAGACGTGGCAAACTTGAAAGTGAGAAGTTATTAAAGGCAAAAGTCAGTGTTTCCCTGCTCACGTGAGTGTGGGGGGCGCGGCCCATAAACAAAAAAAATTGGTGGAAATTCCACATTCATATGGCGCGGACCACAATGTGTAAATGTACCGTAGAGCTACACAAATCATCATGCAAACGTTTGTTGGACTATTGCCAATGCACTGCTGATGAGGGCTTCCCCACGCCGTGCGTGTCTTGAGGATTATTTGACCATACTTTACCACGCTGGTCTGTGTGAATTAAAGGCAGTGGGAGCATACAAGTACAGTACAACGATGGATTTTGCTGCACAACGTAAATTGTCAATCACTAAAATATTCTTATTGTGCATGTTATCATTGTGTGCTCATTATTATCGCTCTATTGTTGTACTGTATTATGTTCTCCGGCACGACACGAAGATTAAACTCGATTTAAGTGATTCTGTTTCATTCATTGCCATTGCCTACGGTGTCCGGCGCGGCATTCCGCGTCAAACAAAACGCGATTTTTTAATCCGTCACATCGCTCGGCAACCTCCATTTCAATTAACACTCACACAAAACAACATACCGACTTAATATTGTATCACTGTCGTTTAAAATTAGTTGTTGAAAAATATACATGACGTTTACTTTTTATTAGTCACGATAATAATGACATTGGATGATCGGGTATCGATTAGCGCGCCTGCTTTAGACAGAGCGACCAGATCCCGCTCAAACATGGCCACGTTTAGGAGGTGACGAGCTCACCTCGCCCCGTGTCCCCTCCTCTCCCTGCAGCGAGCAACCAGCAGCGTCTCTCTTCGCACGCACACACGCAGCACATACCATGGAAGCCCCCGCTAAGCACAAGGGGAAAATGATAGCCTCCAACGCACTGGACGCTAAGGATGAATTAGAGGAGGTAGGCCCCCCGGCCTCGGATAGTTTCGCTACCGAGGAAGGCGCGCCTCGCCCGGCCGAGCTCGGCTGCCTCGCCCGGGGTTCTGGGACCCCGCTCTCGGTCTCTCTCGTCGCCCTGTTTATTGTCTGTTTTCTGTGTGTGTGTTTTTGCTTCGCCTAAAGATTCTAAGGTATTCTAGGGACTCTAGGCTTGAGTCTCGTTGAGTATACTTGTAGTGTATAGTACAGTCGGAATGCCCGGAGTTTTGTGTTTGGTGGGTACAGTACTGTATGGGATGTAACGCGAAGTTTGTCTTGGTCGCGTTTTGTTTTGAGCCGCTGTGATGTTTTGTGCCGTGTTTTTCATTGTTTACAACCCAGGTCGCCCTTGTAACATAATAATTTTGTCTCAGTCGATTCTTACCTCGTTGTAAATAAAGTTAATTACGTACGTGCGCGAAGTAGTGAACTTACTGCTTCAGAAGGCGTAAGGGTGTCAGTTGAAAGCATGGTCTAGGGTTAATGCAGACTGGTATCCCTCTGGGGTGGATATATTGAGTTCTAATTTGTGATACATCATAATTGGGGAGACTGGCCCCCGTCAAGCTTTGGGCCACAGAAGCCACCAAACAGCACTGGTTAAAGAGGCCTGGCAATTGACGAGACTCAGAAAGTCGAAACCGTAGAGGGTTTGCCTACCTAAACATGTCAATAGAGAGTATTCGTTTAGAAGGCCCATGAGCAGATTGACTAACCTGTTATTTACGCTGAGGGACTTTTGTTTGCTCATTTGAATGTATGTGGAGATTTCATAATCAGAATCTTTATTTAGACTGGAGGAATCCAATGAGCTATGAAGCTCTTTTTCACAGATGTCCAGTTGCTGCTGTTAGTGTTTATTTGTATATTCAAAGTTCGGTTGGGGGGTTAACTTTGTTATTCCTCCAGGGTAAGTAAATTGAGTCTCAACTTTGTGGGACGTCAGCAGTGGTTATCCCATGGAAAGATTGGCCCTGCCATGGGAATGCATAATTTCCACCACTGTTTCGAGGTTCTAAAGTGCAATAACCACCTGCCCACGCCCATTCCCATTTATTTATTTGAGTCTGGAAAAACTTTTAAAAAATTATTCTGGAGGGGTGGGAAGTTAATTTTTAATATTTTTGTCTCCACATTGCAGTTGATCTGAAAAATTGGGTTTTTATAGTTGCATAACTATCAAAACCATCGGGCAGTTTTAAGGGATGGGGTTTGCCCTGCCAATTTCTATCCTAGAGCATTTATAATGAAGCTCTGTATAACTTATAGAAAGCAGCTAAGAAGTCAGCGGGTGGTGCATTGTTACCGGAAGGTATTCCTTGTGTTGTAATTGTTGAATGTTTTTTTTAGCAGACCACTGATTGATATTGGACTGTTTTGTGACAAAGGCATGTGGGGAGTGTCCCTTGCCAGACCCAGTGGGTGAAGCTGAATGATTAATTTCAGCTTATTGTTTGTGAATGATCTGAGGCTAATTGTACATCAATCAGCATTAATTACAGAAATATTGTAAAAAAAAACTTGGGTCATTCTAAGACCTAGAATTGGCATTAACCCAACCCCAGTTAAGCGTATAATTGGAGAAATAAGGGCATTTATACCAGTGGTGGTCACTGCCACAAGGTGGTCGGTAGTTATACATTACAGACCATGTAACTGAATAATCCACAAGGCTGGCTGATAATAATTGGCTGTTGAATTTTCAGAAAAAATACATGTGCATTATTTATTTTGTGCTGGGGACTTTTTAAAGGGTGACCAGATGACACATTGTTCAAGAACCTATTTAAAGGGAACTTATTTTTCAGGAGGTGTAATGTCCTGGCTAGAAATCTTTTTATGGTGTGTACCTGTCTAGGCTAAAGTATAAACTCCTCCACTGCTAGTGTTTACACTTGAGAAAACAATGAGATGGGGAACTAAATATGAGCCACTATCAGCTTTGTCATGGACTATGCTAAGAAACAATTGAGCATTAACGATTGTGTGCCCACAGAAGCTGGACCGATGCATGGCCACCGTCACCTCCATGATCGTCAGCGTGTCAGAAAGGGAGGCCAACGATGCCCTCACTGCCCACGTAAGTGATCTTCTTCACAAAGAGCAACAGCAAATTTAGCTTGCACAAAAGAGTGAATTGTATGTTCAGAGGTCTCTATTCCACATCCACAGTTTCCTCCCCTCAGGTCCCTGAAAATTCTACTCTTGAGATGTACCAGTATATTCAGGGCCATGGTGGCATATGTCTGTTATAACACAGCACCTTGGAGATGAGGTGAGTGGATCATGCAAATTTGTAAAATTTCAGCATCTGCTAGGCTACATATTGGCTAGGGAAACAGAGTACAACATGTGCATTTGTGATTTAAAGTTTTCGTGACTGCATGGATTCATATTCTTGGTTCTTTCGGTAAAGTCAAGAATATGTGTATTTGTGGTTTGCGTGAACTTTTGAGTGTTCAATCATATTCCTGGTTTATCTCTGGATACACCAGTTTCTTCCCACATTTAGAATAATAAAATGTTATTTATTTATTGTATACCTACATGACTTTACCGAAAGAAACAAAGAGTCATTCAGCTCCGTGAAGTGTCAGGGAAGAGTCATTCAGCTCCGTGAGGCATTCCTGGATAAATAAAATACTTTATAAGTAAAATATTCCATCCTACCTTGGCAGACATGTCTATATGTGCCACAATGCTAGTATCATTGATTTAACCTTTTGGTTCACCATATTTGCTGTGCAAAATTAATAAGAATCCCATGAATAATTCATCATGCTGAGCCCTTTTAGACATTGTCTTGAGATGCAGTCCGATTTTGTAACTTTATAAATCAAAATTGTATATCGTATTCATAACTAGCGGTTGAATTATGCATCGATTCGTCAAAAAATATTGTTTCAATGCTTTTCGAATTTTATGTTGTATGTAATCGGTAGACGTGACCTATGCAGCTGCTAGAGGCACAACTATTCACACAGCAATGATGTAAACAAAAATCGGGGTCAATAATCCACTGTTAAGTTATGTTTCGCAGGGTCTGTGTTGTAGACCAGTTTGTGGATTTTCACTTTGTGCAGTTTGCATGGGAACATTTCACCCAACCATCATAAGCAATTGTATTGCACTGTATCCGTGTGTAGGTATGTAAAGGAGCACCACAGCATGAGGAGACGTGTCTCGGGCTGACGGCCATCATCTTGACTGACCCAGCCCAGGCTGCCAGGGTAATTACTCTTTCACTTCGACCGGAAAGCGATAATTATGCTGCGTTGTAGCTTAACTTTAGCTACTACTGGTCATTTCATTGAGGTCAAATTACACAAAAGTGCATTTTATGGGATGGTGTTGCAAACAATGCATACGTCTCCGATTAAAAACTGACATGAACTGGGCGTTTTTTCTTCTCTCTAAGCGATTCCACAACCCAAAGTTAACAATGCACAGTTTGGCTACGTTCACTGCAACGTGAGAAGTAAGTGCTGCCCTTTCCCTACCCCCCAGAACCCAACCAACCAACCACGTCATCCCGCACTACCCTGTGGTTGCTGGTAAGTTGGTTGGTTGGTTGGCTGGCTGGTTGGTTGGTTCCTGAGAAGTATGGAGAGATCTTTGTTGTTATTTTTATTCTAACTTGGGTTGTATCAGAATGAGAGTCTATGTCTTAACAGTGACGTGCTGCTATGCAAATTGAGATTTGAGATTGAACCGTCTGCTTTGGGCAGTGCTATCGGGACCTGACCCTGGTGAGTCGGGATGGACTGGGGCTCGTCCTTGCGAAGGTAAACCAGCTGCTCATGGAGAAGTTCTTGAAGATGCACGACGTGGCCAGGAACCAGGTGAGAGGAAAAGGCGGTCGGAAGATGCATCGTAAATCAAGTTTACATGTCATAAATTGATCCATGGTGGCATTATATAATCATCACAAATTTGGATCTTTGTAAATCGGACTTTTGTAATTCAGAGTCCACCTGTAATTATCATTAACACTGCCTCCTAAATTTAAACTATCTAAGAGGCTGACATTGGGCAGCAGGCCTTCAACAGAGCAGAGAGACGACCTATATAGTTATAAAAAAAAAACTCAACAATTTCATCAACTAGCACTGCCTAAAAATAAAGAAAATATTGGTGAGATTGCAGGCAATGGCCCTTCTTCATAGCATAAGGTGGACCTTTTATTTGGCAGGCCTGAGAAGCCTGGGAAATATCCACTGAAGTTGATATGAACAGTTTAGAAATGACAAGCAGTTGAATATTAACTAAGTTTAAACATAATCCTACAAAGTCAAACACATATTCATAATCTGATGTATATTAAAAGTAATCAAATTTCAAAATGTAGAACAGCATTATGGGAAAAACATTATTGGCCATTGCACATTGTTACTTTGAAGGAGCTCTATCCTGGGTGCTATCTTACCTAAATACTGGTATACAAAAGGCCGTGGGTTCGATCCGAACCCTGACTCCTATATATTTGGAGTTTGCATGTTCTCCCCGTGGTCGCTTGGATTTTTCTGCAGGTCCTCCGGTTTTTCCTTCCACATTAGAAAAATGCATTTAGAGTATTTGGCTGCTGTACATTTGCACGTGATAAGCCACTTCCTTGAGCTATCGTTTGTGGCCAAGTGGCTTCTGCAAAAGAGATACATAGCTCAGTGGGCCTTGCCTGGTAAAATAAAAATAGTAGTTAATAGTTTAATAGTTAGTAATAAAATTAATTATTGCAATTCAGGATCATGATTTGTTCCAGGAATCGATGTGTTTTACATTGTGGTGAAGTGGCCCGCTCGTGGCTGCAGGCGTCACATGAACCCATTGCGTACAAGCTAAAGATATAAAAGCATCGCTTCTAAACGCACACAATTTAATGCATGTATTGTGAGCTTAAGAATCACTCTGAATCAATGTATCGATGCATTGTTACACTTCAGTTCATTCTACCAAGCTATTGTTTCGGGTCGTAAGGTGGACATTTATCCTAAGTGCTATTTAAATGTGCCTGCTTTGGAAATAGTAGCTGCGCAGGCTGTTGGCGTCCATCGTACACCAACACACGTGCTAACAATTAACTGACAAACCCCAAAAGTAGCACTGTTTTGACTGTAGGGTTAATGCGTTATGGCAGAAGAGTGGGGAAGGTTGGACCTTCACAAGTGAAACATTGTTAAAGTGTGTGATTGAGTGGTTCAAAGCCAGGAGTGGTGCAGCCTTTGGGCCCAGCACAGCTATGGCTAAATATAGGGGAATGTGAAAAGCACGCTTGTCACAGATGTTTGTAATTTGGGCAAAAAAATGGAGCGTTGCATTCTAACCAGGAGTCTCAGAATAACATTTGTCATCAACGTCAAGCGTACAAAGGATTCTGTATTTGCCACTGTTTGCTTGAAAATCTCGTGGCTGTGTTTTTTAGCGATGTTAAAAGTTTGCCACTTTAAGGAAATGCAATGTTAATTGAGCAGTGCTCCATTCCTGCTAGAAGCCATGTTGAGATGTTATGCAAATTAACTTGCAAGGTGGTGTGTGTTTACGCTGGGAATGGCTGACGTTGGCTTTGAAATTACTAAAAAAAGATACTTTAAGTTTAAACTTTTTTAATTCCAGGTAAGAGTAAAATATTCTGACATACAAATCTCGGTCGTAATTATTGTAACAAAAATGTTTTCGTAGTCATTACTACAATTTTGTGCTTTTTAAATGTTGTTTGTGTGTGTGCTTGTTTTGTTGGTTTCTGTTCAAAACTGATCAGCAAACTGATCAGCTTTGCAAAAGGACTGTTCTGCATTTTGTTATCATTGTATGCCACGAAAATTACATCTTGACATGAAATGTAAAAAAGTAGTAATGATTCCAAAGTATGCTGTTGTTCTTTCAAATGCAACATGATTAATTACGCGTATGTACCTTTTCCCCCTTAATATTTACTTAATATGCTTTGCGGGGGCTTTTATTTTTAATTTTACTGAAATTACACTCAAGCAGCGGTTGCTGCTTTAATTAAAGATAAATATTTTTAGTTTTCAAAAGCTATTGAATGGGGAGTTGTGGTATGATCTTGCATGCAGAAAGGAGTTGTTACAGTTGGGCTTGCAAATCAAATATTCTCACAACATTGTCTGAATGTCTTTATTTCCTCTTCCGTCACTTCCAGCTGGTTTGGTTGGTCCGAGAGGTTGTGAAGAATGGAGTGATAGGCGCCGATGGGGTCACCATGACGCTGTTAAAGCAGATTGCAGGTGCGCACCATCAGGAGGACCATCTTGAAACTCACTTAATCGCCCCTATCGCAGTAAAGTACACAGTGTTACTCGTGTCAACACATACATTTTTCTTCTTGGTTCTTTCGGTAAAGTCACGTAGAAGGGAAATAGTAAAATAATAAAAACATAATAAAAGAAAAAAATATATTTAATTTATTTTATTTTATATTTTAAAACATAAAATAAAATTTTATTTTACATTTTTTATTTTATTATGTTTTATGTTTATTATTTTATTATTTCCCTTCTACTTGACTTTACCTTTATTTAAATTTGTTATATTTTAAAACATAATAAAATAAAATGTAATTTTAAATTTGTTATTTTATTATGTTTTATTAATATTATTTTATTATTTCCCTTCTACATGACTTTACCGAAAGAACCAAGAAGATGAATCCCTGCAGTCACGAAAGCTTTAAATCGAAACACATACATTGTTATCTTTGTTTTATACACATCTGATCCATTGTCTTCCCAAGCCATTGTGCAGTTTTGGTCATTGTACAACATTAAGTGGTTTTAGAGTGGAACAGAATATCCATTAAAGCCTGACATGCTTTGAAATCGAATAACCTTCCAGAAGCAGCCTCAATGTAATTTCTATGAAGTGAATATCAGACTCGGCGGATGACATTTAATCTGCACACCGCATCTATTGTATTGCATTAAGTTGCAGTTTTGCTTTATAGGTGGGGATACAAGTCCCAAGAATATTTGGTTGGCAGAGACCGTGTTGGACTTGCTAACTGACTACAGGTACGTTTTGTGTTTCGCAGCGCGCGTTGAGCCCATGAAATTAAAATAATGTAACTACTGTTTTGGAAGTCATGTCTCTCATTAAAGAGTTTGTTGTCCTGCATTGGTTAATATTCTTTATAACCTTGTAAAACTGCTTCTCTTCTGCGGTTTTTCTTTACCCGATCAATATTTTGATTGTTAATGTATTTTTCAAATTGCATACTTGTCCCTTGCCATATGCAGTTCTATGGGGATGCTTTGTAAGTCAAAATAGTTTTTTGTGTATATTTTTGACAGGGCTTGTAAAAATATTGGCATACACAGTCAACTCTCAATTACCCGATGTAATGGGTAGTGGGAGGGAGCGATGGCCTAGATGCAACAAAATCACGAATCATGCAAAACAGGAAAATTGGGCTCAAAACCCTGTCTGTTTTTACTGTGTCGTAAAGTCATTCGTTTGTCAACATTGTTGCCCACACCTGGGTACCGAGCCACCGACTTGACAAGCGAGCAGCAGCTAAGGTAAGTGTGAGCAAGGCGAATTCCACACCCTGTCTGTCCCCCCTGGGTAATCAAGAAGAGTTGATTGTAATCAACAGTGGCAGCCACGGAGCCTAAGTGTTGAGCGTGGTGCTGGGCAGACCCCCATTCTCAGACAGCGTCGTGGTGTTTGGCTTATAGGGAGTGGGTGCTCAAGAACAGCCTGCTTGTGTCCATGACGGTCTATACGTTCCTGAGGATCATCGTGGACCACAACGGCAGCCCAGCTCTCACCACCCTCCGTCAGAAAGAAGTTGACTTCTGCATTACTCTGCTCCGCGAGCGGGTAGGTGAATTTCGAAATAAAATTTCCGTGTACATTCCCCGTAAATATTTTTTACGTGGTCATTTCAGTAAAATTTCGAGCTCCACGGTTGTTATGGATGTATGTTGAACTTCTTTTGCACCGTACGTAGCCAACCGTGCTAATCGGTTATTTTAACCGAAGCACTATACCCTTGAGTTATCCAAGGCCTCCATTGCAGAAGAAATATGTTCTCACAATGTATTCTTACCTGTCTTCAATCAAATTTTACGACAATTATTGCTTCTCATGTTTCTTTGTGTCCCTATTCAGTTACAACCAATTGTTTGCAATTGTAACCTATTTCGATTCACAATTGCAAATGATGAATTTCATAAGTTATTTTCTATGACGAGTAAAGTCAACATAGCATCACGCTCTCTTCATTTACGTCCACCTTTTAATTGCCGCTTCTATTACTGTCGATGCGTTTTCTCCTTGCTGCGAGCGCAGTTTGCAGACTGCACAATGATTGGGCGGGACCTGGTACGGCTACTACAGAACGTCGCCAGAATCCCCGAGATAGAGAAGCTCTGGAGGGACATGCTGCACAACCCACAGTCGCTGAGCCCGCAGTTCACAGGTAAAGACGCCCGCCCGCCCACCCGCTCATACCAGCCAGTTACGCTTCACGCTCCAGCGTTCGCAAGTTATGAGCGGCCCTTCGTCAGCTGCTCCTCGGGTGGTGGCGATGGTTGGACGGCCATCTTCACGCGTCGCTTGACCCAGCACGTTCCGTCGCAGCTCATTAATCGCGTCTCTTGCAGGCATATTGCAGCTTCTGCAAATGCGAACGTCAAGGAAGTTCCTCGCATGCCGGCTCACCCCCGATATGGAGACCAAACTGCTCTTCATGATGTCAAAGGTATGGAATTAGCAGCCGACATGCTGGCCCTATTTAAACAAAGACAGCCTTGATAGTAGTTTTGAAATTTTTTTTTTTTTCCAAACCAAAATACAGGAATGTAAACAAAAGACAATATTCGCTCCGCCTAAAAATGAAATATTATTTTTGAGCCCATCAGTCAGCCTATTGGCCTTTTAAGCAAACAATTTAAGGCCATTTGTTTAAAGCAGGTAAGCTCTGGACTGGTTTTTGGTTTTCTCTTCCTGTAATTCGATTTTCGCCATCGCCGTTTCTAAACTGTGTTTCTGCGACACCCCACCCGGTTTGCTCACAGGTGCGGTTCGGGCAGCAGAAACGCTACCAAGACTGGTTCCAGCGACAGTACCTGTCAACACCCGACAGTCAGTCCCTACGCTGCGACCTCATTCGCTACATCTGTGGGGTGGTGCACCCCTCCAACGAGGTGCTGTGCTCCGACATCCTGCCCCGGTGGGCCCTCATCGGCTGGCTCCTCACCACCTGCACAGTGAGATTCCTCTTGCATTGTCTAAAAGCAAACAAACGCGAGTTGCCATACACACCTGAGTGCATTGTGTGATTGTACTACTGAATATCAATGACCGACAATTAATTGCAGTGTCAATGTTATATTTTTCTCGTAACAATATTTTGTTTAGGGGGGAGCAATTGAACATGTAGCGATTCACCCTCCACCCTGCGAATCGATGATATGTGATTTGTGTCATGACCTGGGTAAAGATTTAATATTTTTTTTGGTTTTGGTAGGATTCACTCATTTGTACCGTCTTGTCTGTATTGTGTCTAGAATGTACTATTGCCACATCTGTACTGGCTTCATCGTTTGCTTTGTCTATCTTGTGTTTTTGGTTACTGTTTGTCAAATGCCAGTAGCAATTGATTGATTAAAATGTATTATTATACACAGCATGCTATGACTTTGTGCTTCATAATTGGTGTGTTTTGGGTTAGAATGCAAGCATATTACACAAGAGCTGACCTTTTAGCATATGATGGGATGTAATCTACAGAGACACGTCATGTATAAAATTACCCAAATTTTGCTTGCTTTTTAGCATTCTGATTTGCTGAAAAACCAAATCAACCCGTATATTTTCCAATGTGACAACTTTATTTGATTCCCGTTGTCGGCTAGTGGAGGGTTATAGGTATATAAATTACATACCTACATGTTCTAACTCAAAGGAAACCAATTCTAATCATGACTATTCGTGATATGACTTTGTAAGAAGATATGATTTTCGATGTTTGCATATTTTACGTGATTTCATGGAAACCCTACAGCTTCCTGAAATCCTGCAGCTATTATAGGTTTTACATGTGCCACGATGGCAAAACAATATCTTATCAATCAAATATTGACCCCCTAATGATGACACTAAATCAGGACTATTTATTGAACCGTGCAGGGTATGAGTTGTCACAGCCTTGTTGGTGGCTTAATTGTTACAAGCCTAATTGCTGTTGGGTATCTAATAGTTGTGATTACTTAAAAATGTGCAGAAGTTGTCGATGTTGTGCTTAGGTTGCTTGATGGGTTTTTCCCCAAATGCAGAAGTTCTGACAGCCTCTCACATCCTTCTTCTCTTTTCAGTCCAACGTGGCCGCCACCAACGCCAAGTTGTCGCTGTTTTACGATTGGCTGTTTTTCCAGCCTGACAAAGACAGCATAATGAACATCGGTAAGGACAACTCTCCTTGCTCCCAAAAGCAATTAAAAAAAAAAATGTAATTGCGAGAAAGTAACGGTCATATAAACTCATGCTACCCCCCCCCCCCCCCCGGCTTGAAGTTTGCCTGATTGCACCATGGAAACTTTGACACTAAATAAGGTCTAATTAAATGCATTGTTTCCATCTCTTGGTTATGAAATATAATTACCGGGATGTTAATGCTTCACAATTATTAACAAATTGTTTTATTTTTCAACAGAGCCTGCCATTCTGGTCATGCACCATTCTATGAGGCCTCATCCAGCAATCACAGCCACGCTGCTTGACTTCATGTGCAGGGTGAGGGCTTCTATGTATGTTTTCATAACAAGACATTGCCCGCTATTACATGAGCAATTCGAAAGTGTATTGCTCAACACATGCGTTATCCTTGATTTAGTAATTCTTTATCCTCAAGCTACTAATTGTGTCTCGGCTGTGCGGCTTTATTATCACTGCCAAGCTAATTGTTATCTTTGTTGGCCGCCTAAAAATTTTAAAACGCAATCTCGCGTGGAGATTTTTAGGAGCCAACCAGTATGCCAGGATTAATGTGTGGCTGTCTCGACTTGCAGATAATGCCAAACTTCTATCCCCCGCTGGAGAGCCTTGTTCGACAGGGGGTCTACAGCTCTCTCCGCAGCATTCTGGAAAAGAGGGTCCTGCAGTGAGTGCCACCAACCACCCACACGCTTATCGTCCTAAAGATGAATTATTGTTCACAGCTGGCCTCCTGCCGTGCGGTCGCTTGTGCTATTTCTGCCCAGAGTAAGGGACGAGCAGACAAATGGATCTAAATAAAAAATATACAAATTCGAACAAAACGTATGAACCATTTGCTCAGGGTATAAATAGGGAGGTAGCGACGCATCGACTCATCAATGAATTTCGATACTTAAGCTCGTGTGTCAAACGTAGTTTTGTTTAAAAATCGATGTTTTTCGATTTGTGTCTGTTGCATATAATAGAGGTTACTTCTTGCAACCACTGGAATTGCTACCATTCACTTCATTGTTCATAGATATATATTATTATATATTTATTATTAGATATTATTTCGATTTAAAGCTTTCGTGACTGCAGGGATTCATCTTCTTGGTTCTTTCAGTAAAGTCACGTAGAAGGGAAGTAATAAAATAATAAAAATAAATAATAATAAAATAAAATAAAATAATTATGTTTTATTATTTTATTACTTCCCTTCTACGTGACTTTACCGAAAGAACCAAGAAGATAGATATGTATTATTATATATTGTTCTTTATAAAAATGTGTGCCCTGCATTTCTAGAGAGGATTACATATGTATGTATTGTTGAACTTCTTTCGCACGGTACGTAGACAACTGCTAATCGGAGGTGTGGGGGAAAGACAACAAACTAAACACAAAAATCTCTTTTAAAGAAATTAGTTTTCAATCTAGATTTAAAAGTGCATTGCTTCACTAGCTTCCTAATATCGGAGGGAAGAGCATTCCTGACGGCCGCAGAATCGCATCTGAAAGCGCATGATGCGGTGAACGTCTTAGTTCGATGGATAGCTAAAAGCCGCTGCGAGGATAACCGGAGTGTGCGTGATGGTTTATGCTCCTTGATGAAATCAGCAAGGTGTAGTGTTCATTTGTGGCAAGCACTTTGTGTGTAATGAGTGTGAACTTATAATATATTCGTTCGGCAACCGGAAACCAATGCAGCTCGGCGAGCACTGGATGGACATGGTCGGATCTTGCAGTGCCCGTCACGAGCCAAAGAATTTTGTACACGCAGCTTAGTAATGTTTTTGCCAGACGTACTGTAGAGTAGTGAGTTGCAGTAATCCAGCCTTGTCGATGCTATGCTACATGCCACTGTGTTGAGCTCATTAGTTTGGGCATCACAGTCGAATGGTAGCCTTAATCCTGAGCCTATTGTATATGTTTTAGTTACAAAAGGTATTCTTATTGACAAAGCTGGTTGTTTTTTTTCTTCTATAAAAACATTGCACCTGGAAATTCCCTCGAGATGGGTGTCCAGGGTATGAATTGGCTCATATACAGCAAAGACGTAATGATGCGTATGCAAACATGTTAAATCTAAAACTTATACAGTTTACATTATAAAATGGATATCACACCTCGGCAAACATATACTAATTATATGGTACATACCGCCGTTCATATAGAATGCACTCTAGCTGTAACACTATATGAATGAGTGAGTGAGTGAATGTCATTCCGGTTTTGTCTGCTTACTAATGAAACTAGATCACCATCAGGAGGCTGTACTGAGCAACGTCGCCTCACACTTTGACCCAACTGTTTGGATTCCAGGTCCCTGTCGCCACTGTTTGACAACCCCAAGCTGGACAGAGAGCTGCGCTCAATGATCCGGGAAAACTTCTCCGAGTTTACCAGCTCTCCGTCGCCTCCCATGGAGGGCGAGAAGCCCCTTCAGCCACAGCTGCATTTTCTCGATGAAGGTAGAATTAAAAAATACTTTTTTCTTTTCTTAGCACAGTCCAGTCTGCTTCTTCAGTGCTCTCTCCAATGGAGAGGTTGGCGACAACGCATCTCTAACTTTTAAATGTGCTGCGTCAATAGCCTACATTAGTCCAGTGCTATTAGTTCATCAATCCACTGCCTTTTGCTCTCTCTTTCCCCTTCTATCATCCCTGGTACGGCAGGGATGATAGAAACAAAGTACATTCAGTTGCATTAGTAAAGCACAAGCCACTTAAGTGTCCAAAGTGCTGTTCTTAAATGAACACTACTAAAAGCATACATTCATTGGAAGTAAACTAATATGATTTCATACTCCGTTGTTTTCATTTGTTTTAAAATAGGAGCATTAACTCTAAACCCTCCAAATCACTGCCCACCACCAACCACTGTTGACCATTGCTGCCCACCACCACTGCCCAGCATGATTGCTCACCTTTGGTCACATGGCTTAAGGACCGTGACATGGCCTAGGGCTAGCATGTTTGCCGCTTGTTGCAGAGGTTCACGGTTCGAATCCAGCAGCCACTCTGATTAATACTGCGAGTGTATTAACTGTAAAAATACATATCCTCTGCTTCACAGTGGATGCTAAAGATCTTGTGACGTAATTCACAAGAGTAGAGGACTTTGTGTGCCGCTGTCATGGTCCAAATACACCAAACTTGAAAACACCACCGGCACAATTAGTCCATTGGAATATGCGTAGCAATTATCGCTCCCTGCTGTGGAAATTTGGAAGAAGGTGTAATGGGATATTTTTGGTTGTGTATTTTGTTTACCGAGATGTGCTGCTGTATATGTGGATGTTACCCTTCATCCCACCACCCCCTCCACCCTTCCCGACCCCCCCCACCCCCGTTACATCAGCGGTGAAAGCGGACGATTTGCCTTCGACCATGGAGCCCGACAACCACATTGGGGAGCGAGGAAAAGATGAGTGTTGCTTCGACGCGACAGAGGCCACCTTCAGCGACGAGGAGGAAGAGGAGAAGTCGAAAGGTGCTGCCCTTATCGATCCAGTCGGCAGTTGAAACTAATGTTTATCAATTATAATTTGTGAACACGTTACAGCCCCTTGTCAGCCAATTGCTGGAGGAAGGTTGTTTGGCCATGATTTACAGAATCACAAACTGTTAATTTGAATGTATGCACGTGGATATTTTCAGAATCAGAATATGTATTGAAACTGGAGGAATCCACTGAGTTATAAAGCTCTTTTTCACAGATAACGCAAACAACTAAATTGACAACCCAGGTTGACACATACCCCTGCAAAATCTCAAACTCTAACCAAGTACTCCCCCCACCCCCCCCCCCCGCCCCCTCAAAATAGCATAACGCAATGGATGAATAAAATTAATTTAAAATATTTAAATACCCCTACTCAACTACAGGCTACTGTGTGTGAAGGCCAAACATCCGCACAACAACCCCACAACACCTTAGCCCGCTTGTGCCATGTACTTTGTAACGTTGGGGCGTGCGGCGGAAAAGAATCTGTCCTCGGGTACTGAGCTGAGCGTCGCGTTGCCGTTTGTCTCGTGAACATACGAGCAGAGCACGCACGTGTTGCAGGGAAGAAGGTGGAGCTGAGGTTCCGGCCGATCCGGGAGGCGGTGTCGGAGGAACCCCTGGATGTGACGCTGTACCTGGAGCAGCTGGACGAGTCGCTGAGGGACAAGGTTCTTGCCCTGCAGAAGGAGAGGTGAGAACTTTGACCACACTGGTGTTCGTGTAAAGGGCAATATGTGGTTTCAACATTTTTCAATACATTGGGGTAATTGTGCACGTAAAAAGGCATCGACTCATTGATTAGAGTAAATTGTTAGCGTCATGACTCGTGCATAGGATTTGCGTGTAAGAATCGATTTAATTGTTTTTGGATATGCTGTGTGTAATAGGTTCACGTGACCCTTGCAGCCACTAGAGGTGCTACATTCACCAAAATATGACGAAGCGTTATCAGTTCTTGAATAAAATCACGACCCCTTCATTACATCTTGTGGGGTGGGAGGGGTCGGGAGACAAATAGCTTCATGTTTAGTGGCAATGATTTATAAAGCATTTTTATGATAAGCATATATTCTTGTGTAATAGTGCAACCCTAAACAAGTGTTTTATCTCAGCTATTGCGAACCAAATCAAACCGACTGAAAGAAACGTAAGTAATGTACTGCAACTCTCATTAGAATCGTGATCTGCAGGGGTTAAACATTCTGCTGGTTGTTTTTTATGTATGATGCCCTTAATGATTTTCTGCATCCGATGGATCCTGACAATACTGTGCCTTTTTTTGCAGTGACACCGAAACTCAGTGTGAAATAATGCAGGCCATAGTGGAGGTCATACTGCAGATGGTAAGCCAAATTATGTGCAGTGATGTTTGTCACAGTGATAGTTCGATGTTTAATCACATTCAGGTGGTTTTATCATTACATACTTGCTTGTTATAATTGTACGTTCATTATCTTTGTGTGTTGACCTGTTTATCGTGCTCATGTTTTTATTGTGCCAATGTAGAAAGTGCAAATCGAGCAAGCATGAAATAATCAAGAATTGTTCAATCTACATGTGTTTGGTTCAGTTTGAAATTTAGAAAGCCGCTTTTCAATCCTTAATTTAATAGCAAAATTTTCTCATTAGTTTTATACGCTTACAAACCCAGAGCCGCATAATGGCCTTTGTCCCGAAAAACCCTTGAATATGCAGCTTCGATAGACCTGAAATGCCTTGACGAACATAAGCACTGTAATGAAATTTGCCTGATTACTATATGTCAAGCGTTCTGCAGAGAACATGCTGCGCACGCTGCGTCCACGCTGTTAAATGCGGTCACGTGCGCATGAATCATGCTTTGTGTGTACTCGCTCACGCGCACGCGCGTGCGTCATCAGGATGATTTTGACGCGGAGATGGCCTGCCCGCTGGCCTGCTGCCTCATCGAGCTATTCCGTGAGCAGTTTCATGGCGAGGTTCTACCCGAAGAGATCACAGAGGAGTGAGTGGCTCAGCCTCTGCCCCTGCCCCCGACCACGACCACCCCCCACCTCCCCCGCTTCCACCACCACCACCACAACCACCTCCTCCTACCCCCTCCACCGCCCCTCGTTGTCCAGCAAAGGCTGTCAACCCCCTCCCGCCTCCACCCGCCCACGCTCTCCACTCCACCGCCCACTCCCATTACCCTGCCCCCACTTTCTTCCATCACTCCCCTGTGTCTCCGCTTACCTCGGTTGCTCTTATGCGAATTCTTTTATTTGGAAAAACATATAACTTTGATGTATTAAGGCATTCACACATGTGTGATGTTCTTTGAGCATATGCTGTATGTGCGTAGTTGGATATGGACATGCATAAATGCATGGTTATGAATGCAAACATAAACACACGGACATTTCTCTAATGTGTTTATTATTCCAAATCCATTTTTAAAACATGAAACTTTGCAGCCATGAGCTGTGTCTTATGTAGATTATTTTAATCTATTTCATGTTTTATGGAAATTGTAAACAAAGTTTGGATTGTTACGCACTTCGTGACATCCCGATCCTGAGAAGCGCAAAGTAAATGAAATGTTTTTGTTGCGAAAACAATGGAACAATTTTGAACATCACAATTTATTTATCTCTGAAATTACTAAAAAAATGCTCCTTTGTGTCCTTATCGGATACCGACATTAGTTCTGTTGTTGAGATTTGCGATAAAGGGATGCGCTACATTAGCCACCTTCTAAATGACTTGGCTCACAAGGAAGACATTGTCACAACGTGGACCAAGATGAGAGTTTCTTGTCTGCAGCGATGACGAGATCATTTTTTCTCGTGTGCCGAGATTCCTCAAAGCTTTGTTGTGCTAGCGTCAACACAACGGCCTTGATATTTGATTTATATTTCCTACTGGTAGTGGGTACATCATTATGTCTTAACCTTTGTGTGCCTGATCTCAAACAGGGAATCAAAGGTCTTGTTTAAAAGCAAAATGTTGATTCAAATTCCTCCATGCCACTTTCATGCCAATCCAAGGTAGAAAGCAGAGTGTTCATTTAAAACGTATCTGTGGATATCATTGTCACATTATAAAAACATAATGCAAATGTATTCATTCCGTCTCATTGGCAATTGCATCAAACGCAGCCGTTTGAAAGCTATGACATTTTACATAGAATGTGACAGCTGTATTTTCTGTATGTTTAACATTTTTATTTTCCTTATTGCCTTTGCTAAACGTAAGGTTCAAACGTGATTTTATTTTTGTCTGTAATGTCTTGAGCGTAGAGTGTTAATCGTGACGTGTCGCTTGTTTTCTCCCAGGTCGCTGGAAGAGTCCGTCGGGAAGCCTATATACGTGATATTCAGGTGGGTCCCGTCGGCGTTATAGGTCGAACATCAAGCGTATAGTGCAACTTGACAGAGTCCTAGTTAAAAGGCGGTGACGGTTTTTAAAGAGGCGCGGTCGGCAGGAGACTGAACACGATTGTTTACGCGTACGTTCCGTGGTTGTCTTACGCGTGCCTTCACCAGGAACCTGTGTCAATTTCAAGAAGATGATGACGGCTACAGCGTGCTGCTCACCCTGATGTCTGAGCTTTACCAGAAACAGCCCAAGATTGGCTATCACCTTCTGTACTACCTGCAAGCCAGGTGCAATGGATAGCATATGAACTCTCAGCCCGTACACACAAATTAGTCTGAACAGCCAGCAAACATTCATTACATCTTTACATATTTTGTCGAACGTTCATTCGAATGACCATTGTGAATCAATACATGCAACACTCCTGCTGAAGATTGTGCACGTAGATTCCGTTGTATTGGGTGCGGTGATGGTTTCCCACTTTACTGTATCTCAGAACCAGTTTTGTAAATATTTGGCTTGTTGGGGATTTCTATTTAGTAATTTGAGCGAGTTGAGTCGAGTGCACTTACCATAGCAGCTCCATCTGGATGTGCATTGCTTTGACTTATTATTTTTTGTTGTTTGAGAGAACGACCATTTCCTGCATTCCAGCAAAGCGGCGGAGGGCAAGACGGCCGTGTACGAGTCATTTGCGCAGTCGACGCAGCTGGGCGATATCTTCACGTGCCTCATGTTGGACATGAAAGCCTGCCAGGAAGACGACGTGCGGCTGCTGTGCTACCTCGTGCCACCTATTTACACCAAGGTAGGCACACCGCTAACATAATTACAATTCGCACCCCCAGCTTCCCTGGATCTCAGTTTTGTAAGTTATTTTCGCTCACCCCCCCCCCCCCCGCCCTCCCCCCATATAAAAATACATGCACCTTGCTCATGGTCCCCACTCGGTGGGGCAGTGAAACCCACTTTTCCTCCTACTTTAAACCCAGATGGATAAAGTTCGGGAGTAGGATCCGTGGATTTTCTTTACCCTCCCTCTAGTAGTGCGGTTTGTGCTCTTCTATTGAAATTAAAAAATTCTTCCCCCCTCGTTGGATTTATCACGATTTGCACTCTCAACCCGATTCAATAACCCATTTTTTATTATCTCGGTTTCACTCACTCGTTTGTACATCATTCTCATCACTTGTCGTGGGGTAAAGTCTTGCGTACTCACTTCTTCCAAGATGTCTGACCAGTGTGGAAGAGTAGACAGGGACTCTCTAGAGCTCCCTCTAGTGGAGATCATTCTGCCATCAGTGGCATGAGCAAGTTATTGCCAGGCTGAAAGTTTACTTTGTGCACCCGCCAATTTCTATAAATAAGTCATAAATAATTGATACACAATTAGCTACACATAGCATAAGCATAGTGCTGGTACATGGTCTGTGGAGTGTAAAGCGTTGTTTGAAATGCACTGTTACTTTTGAGAATACATTGAGCCTTGTGATATTCAGCAGATCCTAACGTGGTTGTGAGAGTCTCCATTATTTTCAGGCTTTTGTTGACATAATCGTGAATGTGCTTATGATTTATTAAATCGTTTCATTTACCATTTGCTAACGTGCTCGCCGTTTCGTTTCAAAATTTTTTCAGTTTGACGACGTCGCACTGGGAAACAGCGAGCTGCTGAACATGATCGTGGCCGCCATCGACTCGTTACAGGTGGGCAGCAGCGGGAATCCACGTGCTATTTTGTATTATTTGGGATTCGCAAACTAGATTTGTGTGAAAGGCTCTCGCGCGTTCACTTGCTTGTGCCGGACAATTGGGATGTGAATTTGTGCTGATAGACGTGCGAGTGAAAGGCTTGTGACGTGGATGGAGGCAGAGGTTGCTTTGAAGTTAAATGCATGTCCTGTGGTGACCGGTGGATTGACTGAGCCACTTTGTTGAGCGTTTTTTTTATATATAAAAAACAATTTCTCAATCGCATCGCTCGTGTGACTCATAGGGCAGTCTGTTTATAAAAATGAACAACGTGCAGAGTACAGGATATCGTGCAGCGAAGCTAGAGTTGAATATCGAGTGAAGTAATTTTTTTATCCATTTATAAAATAATGCCCCTTATACTGTGATCATTAATCATGTATGTCCTGCTTACATATAAGAAGCTATTTTCTCACTTGTGAATTTTAAACAAACATACTTGGCGTATACGTTTAAAAAACTCAATTTGTGAGAATACATGCAATTTGAAGCTTGCCGCACTTGCACGTTTAGGTAGCAAAATTTGCTTGCAGCCAAAACATTTATTGACAGATAAAAAAAATTCTTCTTTGTTAATGTGTTCCAGATTGATCCATGGCTTTTAAGAGCACATTAATGGATTTTATTTTATACACTCATTGAAGTAGGTTTATGGTCACTCGTAAAGACATCCTCTCATTTCTTTTTAGAGTCTACACTTCTTAGAAATCCCGACTGCTGACCGTAGGGAGCCATTGATACTGGAAAAGAACATATTAACAAGGGCTTTGTTCTAATTATTATTTCATAATACACTTCCAGTTTCTTTGCCATAATTGAGCCACCACATACGCAGCCATGCTGCAGCATAATCAGAATTTACCCATAAGAGCCTCACTGAGTCTCGCGTAGTGAAATAATTCATTGCTGGAATCGCAAGTTTAGGTGATCCATAAAACAGCTGCCTCAAAGTCCTGGATTATAGGCATGCGACACCAGTTGCAGTGCTTGGCTACGTGATGTGCAATACCATGGTTATAGTTTTCATCAAATCACTGCGAATCATCACATGACTAATGCGTATAATTTGTTTTCGTGTTGCTTAAAATCCTGGGGCATTTTAAATATTAATTGTGGTAATTTTATTCTGTGTTTCATGTGTTCACACGTTTACGATGACGGCGAGCAGAGCAGTAATACTATGGTGCTGTTTTTACTCTCTTGTCTCCAGCTGCAGGAGATGGTTTGCCAGGTGATGCTGGGAAACCTGGTCATGTTCCGCAAAGATTCTGCACTCAACGTACTCAGTGAGTACCGTGTTAATATTACACCTCGACTGCGGGTAGCGTAACACCAGACTGAACTTTATTAATTATTGGATTACGAACTTAACTCAATTTACTTAACTGTTAAAGTATTTCACAGGCATCCTTCCTTGAATGTTTGACACCCACCCTCTAGAACATTTATCTTCCTTAGGCTGGTCAACGGTAGAAATGTTTACATGTTACTTAGCCTGTCATTTAATGTGCAAGATTGTTAGAGCACAGCATTTCATCTGCTGCAGTTATTTCAACATTGATTTTCAAAGTGAACACAACAAATGCTGAAAACACAATATATATCATTGGCAAAATGCTGCGGAAAAGCTGAACGTCGATTTTAAAATGCACAGAATGTGCGCACAGCATCTCGCAGGTATTAACTGTTGACACTTAACCGTGTTTTGCGTAGGCACCAGTTTTTTGCTCCCTATTCATAAATCGCTCTCGGCAGAGGGCACATTCAGAGCGCGCGTGCGACTGCACCTCCGCAAGCAATCAAGCGATCGCCTCCGCGCAAAGCGCCGCAGCCTGGGCTCACCGGAGGGGTAATTTGGCGGTGCAGGCAGTTGGTCATTCGCGCTCGTAAGCTTTCGGTGGTACCGAGGGATTGCAGATTGCGATGAGCACAATTATTTTTACACCAAGCCTTCTTCATGCCGACTCGGCACGAGATGAGTCCACGTGTGCGATGACGATTTATACGCTCCAGTTTGGCGAAGTACCCCGGGTCCCCCAGGTCTCTGAACACCAAGGGTTATGGGCGATTCAATTGATGGTTCAGCTCATGATGCCATATATCGACACTGGAAGCCTGCGCAGCTACTATTCCCAATGCAGGTTCATTTTAAATCACGTGCAGATTAAATGTCTCTCTTGCGATATGAAACAAAAACTCGATGTCGTTAGTAGAAGTGTTATGACGTGTTGATTAATCGATTAATATCGATTTTTAAGCTCATGACACGTGCATCAAATTTTGTGAGTAATAATCGATATTTTTTTTAAATTCTTGTACGTTGTATGTATTGGGTTCCCGTACCCCTGTCGAGATAATATATTTACCGCGGTTAAAGAAAATAAATAACAATTCTTGAATGGATTCACAGTACGCATTCTTGACAATTCACCAATTCACCCAGGGCGGTGGGGGTTCGGCGCATTGCTCTGAAGCCTTTGGAAGAGCAATTCAATTTCAAGTGCTTGATATTTGTGTATTTGCATTGACATGGTCAAAATTTGAATACAATATGATTTTAATGAGTTTAACACGTAGGCTTTCATGACCAATATCATCCATAATCAGATTAAATGTTGTAGATTTCGTCTCCCACACACCGGTGTGCTGTACTATTAATAAATTGGCATGTTCTGTTTACGTGACAAACCTTACTAATTGGCTGTCGGGTGGTGGCGGGTTTAACGACACATTTATATTTGCGCGATCTAATCCCAAAAAACCTGTATTGTGGATAATTTTAATGGAATTTTTTAAACAGAAGTTTGATTTGTATGGCGTCTAAATGCACATTACAGTACCCTTCACAACAATGGGACAGTATTGCAGGAAAATATTGAAATAAAAGTATTGTATGAAGGTTAGCGATGAAGTTCAAAATAAATATTTAAGCGTTAATATTTAACACATTCCTGCGGAGGGAGCTGGTAGGAACGTTGGGTTGCTCGGTCAATGGCCAGGGTGAACGGCGGCGTGGTGTATTCCGCAAATATGCCCGACCGAGGGCGGGCACAAGCCGGCGTGAGTAGGTTAAACGTTGAGTTTTATAAGGGCACCACGGGGTGACCAGCCCCTCTCCACCCAGCCCCACCTCTCCCACCCCCCACCCAGCCCCACCCTCCCCACCTAGCCCCTCCCTCCCCACCCAGCCCCTCCCTGCACGACGGACGGACACAATAATCTCCTGTGGGCTGGTGTAACCAGGAGGTTCCTACCAGTATAATTTATGCTGTCTGATTGCCAAATAATACTTTTTGAAAGATATTACAAATCCACGTGTCTAATGGCCCATTTAATAGCTAAACATTCAAACATGCAGTTCAGGTTCATGAGCAGGTTTTTTTTTCATCCTAATATTGCATAATTACGTGAGGTGGCTGGATGGCTCTGGAGCCAAGTGAGGCTTATCATTGCGCGGAGAACCATTGTCCAAGTCGCTGTGATATTCAGGCCCTGTGATAGATTAGTCCACGGTACCTGTAATGGAAGCCCACCCCTAGCGACACAGAGTAGGATGCTGGGCAGTGGTGGTGCACGCCTCTTATCCAGCACTGTGGTGACGCAATACAGCAAGTGCATTCATCTCCATCCGTTTCCATCTGTGGTTTTCTCTGGTACTCCGGTTTTTCCCCCACTTATATAAATAATTGCGCTGGCCAAAAATCCCATTATAGAACCACTGAGATTGGGCAATTGTTGGTGCCGGCTCTGGATCCCTTTCCGCTTGCCCTGTTGTTTCCCAAGCCTCTGAATCTAACGGAAACTGTGCGTGTTACAAATGTGCGCATTTTTATTTGATGCTGTTGGCCACCACATTTATTTCAGCTTCATTGAACGGAGAACATGACCTTGCGGTGCTTGTATGAGTTGCGTGATAATGCCTTGCCAGAAATTGTGAGCTCAGCGTGCAGTTTTCTAAGCTGCTGTTCTAGCTTCTAACCCAATAGTCATACGTCAAAGCGCAATCCTGTCGCTCTGAATTCAGCTACTTTATTTCAGCAACTGGCAAGGGCTCATGGTAGAGGATACGCTTGGGCTGCGGTTGCTATGCACGCACTCCGCAAGAAAAGCAATTGCATTATTCTCATTTTTTCGAGGATGGTCGATGGGATCAAGTGACTTCTGCCGTGTGGTTTAAAAACTCCATTTTCATAATCAGCTGCTCATGACGCAGTTCAAGGGTGGCTTTAGCTGTGGGTTTATCCACCTCTGCTTCCGGGAATTGGAAGGGGCCTGCTTTCCAAGCCCGTATTGCCTGTTATATATGAAGTGGTTGGTTATGTAAAGCCATGGTATGAGAAGGAGCAATGGTGCTAGGTTCATGTCTGCAGGGCGAGACTGCCTGAGCAAGTGGTGGAAAACGACAAAGCGTTGCCGTGAAAATAAGCACCTTTGTCTCCCCTCTAACTGACGCTATCTTCCTGTGTGTAAAAACCTGTAGATAGCCCTGAGCGTTCCCGTGAAACATTGGCAGAGAATAGACTTTGTTCCTTAGAAACACACCGATAATATCGTTGTTGGGCAAAGGTGGCGGTTGACGAGGCCTCGCCCGGTGGACGCTCGAAGAGCCGGCGAGCCAGGGGGTTAGCGTTGGGGAGACGGATTGTACAGCCCAATGGGGAGCACCGCTAATGAGCCGAGCCCAGACAGTTATCCCCGGGTTCCACGGTGGGAATTCGCAGTGCACCGAAGTTGGCCTTGTCAACAGCATTCAACCCCCGTGGCGTGGCCTCCAGACACAAACACATGGCTGCACAATTGTGGAGTGAGTAGCGACGCGTTACCCCCACCATGCGGCCGCGCACGGGTAGTGGAGCGTCAGACACGGTCTATAATGACTCCTCATTCTCCACCATTGACCAATTTCTTGGAAGGTTTCATCATTTAATATAAATTCTTCCGCTCACAATGAATGCATTCATTGAATTGTGAATGTAAGATCCAATCACTTAGAAGTCATGCAAATTGTAGAATTTGTCATGGCATGGTGCCAATTTTCAAGTCGCCATGAATTCAGGCCCTGTGATGGATAAGTACAAATTATTTGAAAAAATTTCCTTCGTTTTTATGGAACAAACAAGACGGAAGAAACGAAATGGAAAATGCAAACTAGACAGAACAAATGAGACAAAATTATTTATTCTTCACTTGAATCGTGACCCCGTCATTTTGATGGTTCTTCGAATTGTTGGGGAGGTGAATCGTTATGTAACCTCCAACTACCGACTGCCTCTTTGTTCAGCATCTCGATATGTGGTCGCGTCTTTTAATCTAGCATTTTTTTACATCCAATTTTCCCTTAGATTGCATAAATAAAGGTAAAATGTTCGAGTATTAACCAATTTTAAACCTATTTGTACGCAGGTATTAGTCTTGCTTATGGCATTCAGAATCCAGTTGTGCATTGTACACAGCAGCAGTAGTAGTAGTAATAATAAAAGTTTTGTTTACCCAAGAAAGCCTGGGGGGTATTGGCCCACAGAGCCACCCTGCGATCTCGACCCACTGATTTATGTGATGCCTCCCTTGAATGGGGACAGCGCAGCCTGGAGCATGAGCTGCGTTTGTTTGGGAAGGGAGGCAGATTAACGACAGCTGAGTGGCCAGACATTGCTTGGTCTGCATCCGCCAGTCGGCGCAGACCCAACTGAGCCTTACCAGCGACATTCCTTATTTAGTGGTGTTATTAGTAGCAGTAGAGGGCATGGAATCTGCCTTATTTCGTCAGATCTCCTAAGCTAGGTAGGGTTGACCCTGGATAGTGTTTGCATGGGCTACCACCTTGATTAACAGGTGCTATAGACGGTTGGGCTATGTTGTGGGCAGCAGAGTGCAGTGCAGCACAATCTTGCACTGTACTGCTCCGCTCCCAAATGGAAACACCCCCCCACCTTCAGCAACCAACACGGACTCGCATCGTGAATCGCCATCTAATTATCCCCACTTTACCCATATGGAGAGGCCCTCATCCAGTAGCGGATCGTCAAAACAGCTGTTCATGTACGTATTCGGCGTAGACCCCAATTCTTAAGCAAGCGTAATATCTTATTTTATTATTAAAAGCGGCACTTCTGTAGTTTTCAACCTCCAGATGGGGACCCATTGTCATTAGATGGAGAATCACTTGTGTCCAGGTAACTCTGCACCTCTGCCCAGAAATTTGTTCAATCGTTATGATTCAGGGTCACGATTAAATTCAGGAATCGATTATCTGGTTGGCTTTGTTTTAGATGCCTCCATTGTTTTGTTTCAACATGTTTTGCTAATTAAACTGTTTCATTTGCATATCATTTGCATGACTAGTAAAACATATTTTCATAGGCGGGTATTTGATGCGCGTATCGGAAGCATGAGAATTTATTTAAATTGATTAATCAATACATCATTCCATGCCTAGTCACGATTAAGCCTGATAATTAGAATGAAAAATAAAACTAAAAGCAATAGTGTATGTTTTAGTTGCAACAATATATATATTCAAGTCCATTCACTGTGAGAGTTCTGCTTGGTGTTCAGAAGACTTCTCAAGCCAAGAGTTAAGGATGTAGGTAGCTTAACTGCCCCAGTCACCTCCCCGGTCAGGGATTCACTTGGTCTGTCAACAGCAAAGCCTCGTCAAACTTCTCGAGCCACTGTTTCAAAGAAAGGCGAAATCCAAAGAGCTCTCGTGCTCTAGATGTGTATCTAAGTTGTGTGACCCTGGGCTATCCAAGACAAGTTGTTAATAAAAAAAGACTTTACCAGGTACAGCCCCCACTGGGCTATTAGCTCTTTTCACAAGCGACCTGGCCATACATGATGATAGCTTATCGAAGTGGCTTATCATCACATGTGGGAATTTATAATTTGTAGCCTTGGTCAAGGCGCTATGTAAATTCTAATAAGATAAGATAGTTGCAGCCAAATAATATACACTTATGTTTCTAAATGTGGAGGGCAAAACCGGAGGAATCCGAAGAGTAATCCATGTGACCACCACGGGGAGAGATAGAACATACGGACTCCAAATTTACAACAACAGGCATCGCCAGGGTCTGGAATCGAACCCACGACCAGGCGAGGGAGATAACATATCCTTGCCATTGCTGACCGTGTCGGAATTAGGGTCAAGTACACCATTATATCAATCTGGTGAAGTCACTACGACATCGTTTAGTGTAGTCGTATGAATATTCTTTCGGAGTTCAAGAAGGCTTTGGCTCTTGTTTGTGCCCCTCCCTTTCCACGTGGACCCCAGCCACAAGCCTGCAGTGGGAGACGTTCGAGCAATACTGCACCTGGCAGCTCTTCCTGGCCCACGGCATTCCTATAGAGACCGTTGTGCCCATCCTCCAGCACCTCAAGTACAAAGGTATGCTTACACTACCAGAGTTAATCCCGACCTCCCAGGGCCACTGGGAAGCAATGTGATGCTGGTTTATGAACCGAGAACCACTGGGTCTGGAACCCTGCTGGAGCCTTAATTAACCAGGCCAGCACCAATTGGGCCACGAGGCCTGCTTTTAGTGGGCCGCTTTCGGCATCATGTCATGAAATGGAGACATTCTTATTCGTAACTTCGCAAACCAAGAGCTGTCCAGGATCACCCCTGCTTAGCCTCAGAGATCTTGACGAGATTAGGCACATTGCAGATGCTTCAGTCATTGGCATGTACAAAATATTGCTGACTTTTATAGACAATGAAAAATATATATTTTTTGAAATTGCAAAAAAAACGATATGTTACTCTTTAATTCCTCATCACTGGGTTTGTTTTGAGGATAAGCCCACGCCTGAGCCAACATTGGTGTCTTGCAGATCACCCAGAAGCGCTCTCCTGCCTGCTGCTGCAACTCCGAAGAGAAAAGTAAGTCTTGCGTGAAATTACTTTCCCAGCTTCCTGCAGTCTACCCGCGTGTTTGCGCGCACTGCGAGGATGCACTTAAAATCCTCATGCCGCTCATCCCATTGTCCAAGCACATATTGCCCGTTGTTTTGCAATGAAAACAGATTATTTCTAAATTTTAAAAGGTTTTCTTGTGGCTTCTGGATACTGAGTTGTGGCTATGTGATCTGTGTACGTAGCCAGCCGTGCTCATCGGATGTGTGAAGGACAACAATCTAGATTTGAAAATGCATTGCCCCAGTGGCTTCCTAATATCGGAAGAGCGTTCCAGACGGCCGCAGAAGCGCATCTGAAAGCGTACGATACAGTGACGGTCTTTGTTCGATGGTTAGCCAAACGATGCATCAATTTATTTATTTAAAAGGTATAGTTACGCTAACGATATGTGGTCTGCACCTAAGATTCCATTTTGTACAATTTATGTAAATTGTGTATTGATTTCACATTTAAGTTCATGGATGGGACAAATTTGTACACATCTGGAAATAATACAAATAAGATGGAGAAACAACATGAAAAAAATAATTGATTCTTGAACTGCACTGAAACCCACTGATCAGAACAACGTATCAAATCGCTGGAAGGAGACGACGTGATATGCCTACTTTTTTCCCGTGGGAAACCCGCACTCCGTTTTCTCCCAGGAGCACATATCTGTCAGATGCTTGAGTTTGACAGAATATGTCTCAAAAAGGAATTGGCCAAGAATTCCAATGCAAGGCCCTTACGATTATTGCTGACTCTGAGAGCCTTTCCTGGAATAAAGGACATGCAATTATTTTTTCCTTCAGTTGTGAAAAAAATGATTTTGGTAGGGTGAAGTGAAATGGACCTTTTAAATTTCAGATTCCCTCTACACTGCCGCACAGAGATGCACATGCAGTCCAGTGCTTTTGGCATGCTCCCTTATGGTTTAAAGAGACTAAATTTATAACACATCGGCCAGTGGCGTGTGTGTATTACTCCGAATCTCTACCTACGTGCTTATGCATCTTTTATTTTCTGCCACCACATTGCTGTGTATATTTGATTATGTATGCTGCACTGCAAGATGCACAGATGCTACCTGCAGCACAGCTGGGCAGGCAGGCATGCTTTACGAGGGCGCCTGAGGTGGCGAGGAAATGTTATCTCCTTCGCCTAGTATGCAGGTTCGATCCTGACCCTGATGCGATGCCTGTTGTATATTTGGAGTTTGCATGTTTTCTCTCCCTGTACTCCTCCGGTTTTGCCCTCCACACTTAGAAACGTGTGTTTAGATGATGTGGTTACTTTAAATTCCCACGTGTGATAAGCTGCTTGGATGAGCTACCGTGTGTGGCCAGGACGCCTCTGAGAAAAATGTAATAGCTCTGTGGGCTTAACAGAGTGAAAAAAATGTGAAAGATTACTGAAACCAAACAACAAATAGGTTTTTTTTTTCCTTGTGGAGGCACGCCTACGCTGTGTGTCTGAGGCTATGGAATGTCAGTTTGAAGGTTCATTAAAGATTAAAAATTACTTTAAAGTTGTGGTTAAGCATGTCATGCTGAAGTCACACACGCAGGAGTTTTTATTATGCACAAGGGAAAATATAATTATTTATGTGACTGTGGCTACAAACACCGAACCATGGAGCATATGAACTCACACTGCCCCAGATTAAAATTTGAAGGCAGTAAATTTGCAATTCACCAACTCTCAGATAAAGCAATTGAATGGCTAAATCACTGAGAACTGAATCTTTTCAATACCCATGAGGGAGCGGAGGTGTAGAAGTTCACGCGCTGCACTCTGAGTGTAGTGACCAGAGTTCGAATCCCAGAAATGGCTAACATCGATGGGGGCTGATATCCAAAAACCATCCTGGACCCCTCCCTTCGCAAACGCCACAGTGTGAGAAGTCCGATCAAATAACTGCCGTGACCGACACAGCATGGGGACACTTTCATCCAGCAGTGGATTGAAACATTACTTATATTATTTATAAATGTAGTGTTATTATTATTATTATTTGGTTCTTTCGATAAAGCCACGTAAATTGAAAAGATATCACGACGTTTCGATCGCAACACAAGCAATCGTCATCACCTATCTACGTGGCTTTACCGAAAGAACCAAAGAAGATGAATTTCTGCAGCCACGAAAGCTTTAAGTCGTTATTATTATTGTTGTTGTAGCACTTGGGTGACACTGTGGCTCCTGAATGTGACTTTAAAGACTTTTTCAGGAACGATGCTTCAAACTTGTATCAGAACATGCAGAATAATTACTTGTCTACAAAATGAGAGCCATCACCTTTCCGGCTTGAAACTACTTGAGATCCTTTTGAAACTATATGAGATCCTATTGAAACTTCTTGAGATATGATTGGAACTCAATTAAATTCCAGATCCCAATGAGGCAAGTATTTTTGCAAAGCAGACCTGGAATTGTGAGGGAGACTAGACAACGTGGGTACTGCAAGCTCCAACCATGTGGTTGCCACAAATGAACCACAATACCTTGCTAATCTCATCAAGGAGCATAAACCATCATGTGAACTCCGGTCATCCTCGCAGCGGCTTTTGGCAAGCAATCGAACAAAGACGGTCACTACATCGCGTGCTTTTAGATGCGCTTCTGCGGCCGTCTGGGAACCCTCTTCCAATATTTGGAAGCCACTGGAGAAATGCACTTTTAAATGTAGATTGAAAACTCTTTTCTTTCATACTGCTTTTTGTGTTTAGATTGTTGTCTTTCCCTCGCACCTCAGATTAACACGATTGGTTATGTACGCTGCTAAAGAAGCTCAACATACATGGTAGGCAATAAGACCCACGGGAGCATCATTCCATCTGCATTCCCCATTGTGCCGACCCTTCTTGCCCTCGCTCTCTCCGATGGCGCAGGCCGATGGAGGAGATGGTGAAGCTGGTGCTGAGCCGCCCGTGCCACCGGGAGGACCACTTCACCACGAGCATCCTGCGCCACTGGGCCGTCAAACATGAGGAGATCCTCGCGGAGCATGTCAAGTCGCTGCTCATCAAGAACAACACTCCGCCACGCAAACGGCAAAGGTGAGACCACCTCGATCGCCAATCCGCACCGTTGTGCCAGGCATGCCCTGTTGGCTTTTGCACTTGCCGGCATCGTGAATTCGAGATGGTCAGCCCGGAAAGAAAGTTCCAAGCAGCCCCTAAAAAACCCAACTAATATTGATAAAAAGTACAAGGCCCGAGCACAAACATACATTTAAAGCTTCTAGGCACAACGAAACTGATCCCAAAAACTCAAACTGTGCGCGCTCACTAGCTGTGACACGGCGAGTAAGAGTCACATGGTCAATCCAATAATTTAAACGAGGGGCAGCATTTTCTTCCCCGATGTGAGGTGAGGCTCCTGTTCTGCGGGTCGCCGTTCTCGCACCAGAGTTAGGTGTACGCGGAGGGCTACGCTCGCTTGTGGAGGTGTAATGATTCAAGCCCTGACCGTACCCCAGCAAATTAAATTAATTGTCTCAATTCCAAAATCAATAAGTCTAATAAACATGATTCAACACAACTGGCATGAGTAAAAACGACGATCGATCCATCGACGTACCATTACATCTCGACTCAGTTTTGTTGTTGTTTTGTTGTTGATGTAATGCTGTTGTTGTTGACGCCATATTCTTCTATCGTGCTGCGATGTGATAGTTTGCGCAGCTCGAGCAGCAAGCTGACGCAGCTGACTGTGGAACAGATGCTCGAACACCTCGACAACTTGCGACTCGTCTGCAGCCCCCGGCAAACTTGTGAGCCTCCCAGAGTTGTGTAGTCATGATGATAATAAGAAAATCAAAACCCATTCTCTTTGGTTCTTTCGGCAAAGTCACTTAGGTATAAAATCAAATAAATTAAATCACGACGTTTCGGGCGCAACACAAGCGTCCGTCATCTGGTGGGACAACCACAGCAAGAAACAATTATTGAAGTGGGCAAAAGGGCTGCCGTGACAAGAGGCTAAATAGGTAAGAGAGGGGGGAGGAGCAAGGGAGGAGAGATAGAGAGGGGGGGGGGGGGGAGTAGGGGAAGTGGAGCGCTGCTAGAGGGATTAGAAGACAAGACGAGCAAGGCAAAATTCCCGGGGGGGGGGGGGGGGGGGGAAGTGGGCGGGGCTGCGAGTGGGAGGCTGAAGAAACTGGAGATGCGGATATGAAGGCAACACCATAAAGCAGTAACGGTTTTACCTGGTTAATAACATCCTTCCAATGATTGCTCAATTTGTATCCATCTTCTCGGTTGAAGTTATGTCTATGTTTATATATCTGGATGGCTTCATGAACAAACCTTTGATAGTAGCCCGAAGGTTTGCAGAGTACCTTGGTCTCGGGGAAAAAAAAATCATGAGATGCCACAGCGTTATAGCAATGGTTAGCCACGGCGGAGGTATTGGTTCTGCCGTGTTTCAGATCTGACTTGTGTTCGCGAACACGGTCCGAGATATGTCGTTTCGTTTCCCCAATGTAACAGCCACCACAGGTGCAACTTAGTTTGTAGACTCCAGGATATTGAATGTCAGGAATGACATCCTTCACAGATAGGATTAGATCACGGATTCTGTGTACTGTACTGAATCGGACCTGGATCTTGTGTTTGTTTAAGATATTTGTTTGTTTTATACCTACATGACTTTACCTGAAAGAACCAAAGAGTATGGATTCCCTGCAGTCACGAAAACTTCAAATCTAGATCAAAGCCCATTATTTACCCAAAAAAAGGCTCACTCAATCTAAAAGCTCTTTTCACAAGGGCCCTTTATTGAGATGTTTGACTATTAATGAGGGTATGTGGGGCACGTTGGATGAAAGCAAGGTGCCTCGATAAAGCCCATGGTTTTAAGGGTGTTACATTTGGAGCTTTGCAGAGATGGATTCCAAGCTCCATCGCTGTTTTGCGATCTGGCCACAATCGCAGCGCAGACCTGCAAGACGTGGTATTCCCAGGCAGTCTCCCATCCAAGTACTAACACAGCTCAACTCTGCTTAGCTCAAAGATTTCATGAGATTGGGTATGTTCAGGGTGATTTGTTAGGATGCATACAGAATGCAGTATGTATATTGATCTTTCACACCGTGCATAGCTATTTGTGCTAATGGGAGGTGTGGGAGAAGGACAACAGACGAAACACAAAAGCAGTTCTAAAGAAATGAGTTTTCAATCTAGATTTAAATATGCATAGCTCTAGTGCCTTCCTAATTTCAGAAGGAAGAGCATTCCAGACGGGCACAAAAGCGCATCTGAAAGCATGCGATGTGTTTCTGTTCGATGGCTTGCCAAAAGCAGCTGCGAGGATGACCGGAGTTTGTGTTATGGTTTGTGCTCCTTGACGAGATTAGCAAGGTATTGTGGTTCATTTGTGGCAATCACTTTGTGTGGAATGAGTGCCTTGCAGCACGTTGAGACGAATATCACCGAGTCACACAGAGTCAAAGATCACACTGTAGGATGATAGGTGATGCTTGTTTATTGGGTTATGTATCTGGAATCTACAAAGCAATCATTTCCCCCGACTGTGAAAAATTGGCAGGACCCTCTTCACAAAAAGAATATTCATTAGATTCTGTGAAGCTTTCCTGGGTAAACAAACATAGTAATCATCGTCATTGAATTCTAAGCACCACCTTCATCGTGACCAAGCATGGGGTGGCTGTGGTGATGGAGCTTTTACAAAAATCAATCAAACACGGGTATCCTGTAAATCATCCTATTTAGCTTATGGCTGAGTGAAAATCTCAATTCTAAAAATGTTCGCCCAATAATTAAAGAGGTGTATAAATTAAATACATTGAACCAAAAATTATCTACATGGTGATCAGAATTACCATTTCCAAATGTTAGACCGGTAAATCCATTGCCGGCGCTGTTAAACTGGCGTTTCATAATTTTCCATTCGGTTTAATACACGCCTGTGATAAGTTGTACTTGATGATATGTTCGTAATGTGGCGGCTGCATGTAGAAGCAGGTGTGCGAGTCCACACGAGACCCTAAGTCTCTTTTGCATGGGGAGACCTGGGACCGAATCTCCCCACCAGAGCGCCGGCGAGCGACGTCAGAAGCGTCATTTTGGCTGCTCACATTCACTTTGTCCCCTGGATGCCAGAAAGCATCCACAAAACCTCGTCCCCCCGAGTCTGTGAGCCGTTTAGAGCTTAGCCAGTCGGTGTTATTAATTTATTTATTCCCCTCACACCTCCCTACCCCCCCACCCCATGCCGCTCAGTTTTCGCACAGACGCCGATTCTGCAAGCCTTGCAGCACGTTCAGGCGAGCTGCGACGAAGGGCAGAAATCAAGGTGAAACGCAACACCGGCGTGTTTGCTCCACTGTGATTTGTGCCGTACAGTACAATGATGTTTGGACTTGTTTAGGGTCTTAAATGCGACCAACTGTCAACATGCATGAGCAGTGCAGGTGAACAGGCAAGGAGGGCCAAGTGAGGGTTGGCAGAGGGTTGGGTGTGATGAGAGAAGCAGCTCTTCAGATGCAGAGGAGGAGGAAGAGAAGAGGATGGTTTTGAGCCTGGATTAAGAGGGAGGAGAGTCGGTGGTGATGACGATCAGGGGGAGGGAGTCCCAGACATTAGGGACAGCATAGGAGAACAAGAGACCGACCGTTATTTATGCAATAATGAGTGTGCTTACAGAGAGTTGTATTACAGAGGCTGACAACATCCATGTTCACTGAAATTCATATTGCATTGATCTTGAGGTTCATTGTGCAAATCTACATCGTTCAATTAATTAATCGTTCATGTTAAAATTATCCGTTAATGCAAGTACAGATTCATCACACAATGTGGAACCGATGTGTTGTCGATATAATCAGGAAGAGGAGGTTGCAATAGTTCTGTCACAGTGTGCAGAATTGAGGAGAGGGGCCGGGTGACAGAGATGGGTGTTAGAGTGGTGCCCAGAGAGTAGCAAGAAAGGGGAAGACCAATGAGGGAGCCTTAAAGGTCAGGTGGCAGGAAATGGTAGCAAGGTTTGGTGGCATTGGCCATGATGACCTTTTGACCTTGACCGTGAATATTAATGTTATGTTTATTTGCTCTGGACTTTGGGACTGCGGGCGGGATGTTCGCGTCAGGTTCAGCGATCTGTTCGCGCTTGCCGAGGACTTTGAGGATTCGTCAAAACCCACGAGAAATCGACGGAAGGGGGCGGCCGCCACAAGCCCCCGCAGCAAGAAGGCTCCGCCCCCCGCCAGCAATGAGGAGGAGTCGTCTGGCAGCAGCCAATCGGTGAGCGACAGCTCCTGCATTTAACCAAAGGTTATTTTTTCTTGCGCGAGGGTCCACTGTTTTCCCAGCGCATCACTTGACTTTTACCGTCGGTCGTTGCGATTGCTATCGTTGACATTCGTGGGTGTTGTATTCATTGTACATTAACACGTAGGCTTTCGCGACCAATATTATCCATAATAGAGGTTTTTTTAGGGTTAGATCGCATCAATATAAATGTGTCGTTAAACCCACTACCACCCGACACAGGAGGATTTCTCCACAAATGTGGCTGTCGCCTTATGAATGCTAGTTGTAATTTCTGGCGAAACGCCATCCTCGAATTGTAAATGTTGTGCGTTTCCTCTCCAACACACCGATGTGCTGTACTCGTAACGAATTTGCATGTTTTGTTTCGATGACAAACCTTACTAATTGTCTGTGTCGGGTGGTGGCGGTGGTTTTAACGATACATTTATTTTTACGCGATGTAATCCTAAAGAAAAACTTCTGTTATGGATTCATTGTACATGGATAGCCTTGTGTGAGTCCACTGCTGGATGAGGGCTTCCTCATGTTTTATGTGTTTTTTGGAGGTTAAATCTTGACTTAAAGCTTTCGTTACTGCAGGAATTCATATTCTTTGGGTCTTTCGGTAAAACCACGTAGATAGAAAAATAATATTATTATCATGACGTTTCGACCGCAACACAAGCAATCGTCATCATGTATTTTTTTTTTTACACCTGATGACGATTGCTTGTGTGGCGATCGAAACATCGTGATCATTTTATTATTTTTCTATCTATGTTTGTCGAGACTATTTCACCATACAGGTATTCCTCTACTTACGATGGAGATGCGTTACGACGACCCCATCGTAAGTTGAAAATATCGTAAGTTGAAGATGGCCTAGCCTACCCAGGAGTCTTAAAGAATGGTGATAATTTAGCAAAACAGAGCAATTTACAGTACCCTACTGTATAAACTATATACCGTATGTATTTATTAATTACAATACTGTATTGCACAGTAAAATGTAAAGTAAAAAAAACAAGGTAAATTCTTAGCCTACCTATATGAACTGCAATTTAATAGAAAGTTTTTTCAGGAAACAATCTTATCTGCTATAAAAACTTTTAACATGCGTTGAACGTATCATATCATGATAACCTTAAAATTAAATCGCTAAAGCTACGTATCATACATGCATTGAACGTATCGTAACGTATCATATTGTACTGTACTCACCAAGATTCTGTCCGTCTTCTGCATACTTGAACGATGTTAGGTTGTTGATGGCAATTTTGTCGTATCGCTATCGCCATCGTAAGATCGAAATATCGTAAGTCGGACCATCGTAACTCGGGGACTACCTGTACTTCATGATCAGAGTGAGGATGGATTGTTGCAATGCAGGACCTTGAGAGGTGACAGCGACTCGGGGAGGTCTTCATCCAGCAATAGATGGGTCTTGACTGATGATGTTCAAGGGGCAAGTGCTGAATGAGTGCCTTCCCGTCAAGCTCATATGGCACGACCTAATTCTAGATTTGAACCCAAAAGAAACCAATTATGAATCATAATATTGATCGTAAAAACCTACATGTAAAATGTAAGTGTCATAGTTTACGTAATTGGGTTTATATCATTGTTTGTGGCTTTGACTTGCAGGAGGAGGAAGACACGAAACCCAAAACTCACAAGAGGAAAAGGAAACCTTCAGCCATGGGATCGGACAGTGACTGAGCCGTGTCGCGGGCCTTGTGTTGAAACGTGCTCCTACCGCACGACAGATCCAAACACTTTGCAGTACGGTGATGAGAAGAGATTGACAGTTTCACTCCCACACAGCGTAGCGAGTCACCGGATTCGTTTCTGCTCACGCCTCTGATGCAAAGGACTTCGGACGGCAGCTGCGGCCCTGTCCTATGTCTTAGTACTCAAACTTAGAATGGAAGCGGTTGAAGAGAGAAAAAACCCAATTATGGAAGTCGGCTTGAATTTGTGCGATCACATTTTGGTCAGTTTTGAATTGCATTTCAACAAACGCTCAACTAACCGGCTTGCGTTCGTCATCATGACATGGCAAATTTCAGTAAATCAAGATTGTTTTGTAACTTTGATGTTTTTCTTACCACCTATATTCTTTGGGTGGAAGCCTCAGTCTCAGATTCACAACATTTTGCCCCAATCCTTATAAAAGCAGAGGCCTCGACTTAGGTTGAAAAATCCATCCCTCGGCCCGGAACCAGTGCTGCTTGTGAACGAGTCGTGGAATGCTCCTTCAAACAATACCGTGGATGCATGATACTCAGCCCTGGATTCCAAGGCCAATAAAAAGTCGACGGATAATGCGATGAAGGCACAGGTTCACGGCAAGCTCCAAGAATCCATTTGAGAACTCGCGCCTGGCAAAATACGGTAGCAATAAATAATTACCTCACGAGGCGAGCAGCAAAGGTGGCCTCAGTGAAGATGCTGTTGAACACGTTCAAACACGTTACTTCCCCCTATGGCACTTGTCCTTTTATCGCTACCCTTTCAGATGGGCCGCGCACTAATGATCAAAATGATGACATTCCAAAGTGCCGCGTGCAACTCTTTCAGGGATTTTTAACATTCTTACTTGTCTTCTATAAAAAAAAAATGAATCGATAGATCTGCAGTTCTTGAAAGTGTATGTTACTCAATTTAAACTATGTCCAGCGTCTCTTTTTGACGGCAGAACGATGGGTATTGGTAATTAAAATATCCGTGCTATATATGGATAGAGACAAACGAAATGTCACTCGAAATGTGGACAACATTTAAGTAGTGGAAATTGTTCTGTGAAAAAAGTCACAATTCCAGACTCGATTATAAACGTGCAGCCTTGAATGCAAAATAAATGAGACAGTTAACATGTTGTTTTATTTTAATTAATGCATCTAAAAGTGGTAGCGTGAAAGGCACACGTGTATATAAAAATCGTGTTTTTAACTTGGTGCGCTGCTGATGACAAAAGTAAAAATACAGATGTGTATACAACAATCATGACTTACTTTTAGCCAACTCAGTTCTGTTTTCTAAAGTGGTCAGTGTTGACAACAGGGTTTTAAAGTAAATGTCACATTAACATTCTACAGAATAGCGTCCGTTATTGTAAAGCATGCAAATTTGTACAAATCTGAAGTAAGTTTGAATCAAATATTTGGGAAAAGTTCTGAGCAGCTTCTTGTTAAGACGTTTAAATCGAGTGCCACTGTAAGGGAACATTTCGTTATTTCTTTTAAAAGTTTTTGTTTGTTCATTTTGGAAGTTCTAACATTTAAATGAAGGTTCTGAGAAGCCCATTCCCTCATGGCCACCAGACGGCAGTTAAGACCCCACACAGCCCACGAAAGCACCACGCGCAGTGCTTGGGCACTGGTTACAGACCGCTGTACCCTCATACGTTCACCCAACCACACACGCAGCTCACATTAGCGCAGTAAACACTTCGGGCCGCCACTACGGAATGTTGACGAAATGGCAACAAACAAATTGCATTTGCGATTTTTACCTCGTTGATAACCGAGATGTTGACATTCTTTGGTCAAAATTGGACAAAAATTCGGCGAAATGCATTTAGCTCTTAACCTCGCTTTTCGGCAGTTGTGCAAACTACACGCAGAATGGTAAAAGTGACGGAAGATCAAATGCATCAGGATGGAGGTGTGGTTTGGTAAATAATGTGGTGGACCCGCAATGAAGCACACTGCTCGTCCACGCAACTCACGCACTGGTCAGTAGATTGGTGCAGTGATGGGAGTCGGGCTGTTATCACCCAACCCCTGGGTGTTCATCAAAGAGCCGATTCCGTTGCCGCTGGAGATGCACCGCTGTAATTGCCCTTGGCTGTACCATGACAGCCTTAATTTGTTCAGTCGGAATCCACCGTTGAAGCGAAGTATTGCTCCCATTGGTCACTCGTTTAGACAACAGCACTGATTTCGGCACCTTTTCAGCACCACAGCTGCGCCACACAGAAAGGCCACCATATACGCGGTGACTCATCCCATTGTGACCCGCTTTTTTGTTTCCCCGAGCTAAACTCGCAGTGGGTGGGGGAAAACCGCCTTTAAACTCCTTCGATAGCGGTATGGCGATGAGAAAGAAACATCTTTCAATCACTGAACATCCATCCATCAAATGGAAGCTGTCTAGCGAGCACTAGCAACAAACCAACTGGTCCATGGTACGTAGTTGTCCTGCCTCCAGGTCAGGTTATGCCCTCTCAAGGAAACCTTCGGCGGGTGTTTTGCTGCTGCTAATTTTTTGGTGTATCGCTACGTTTGGTTTCTCGAGCCGTTCCGCGCGACGGTTGAACATCTTTCAACGAGGGGAGCGTGGCGACTGTCAACATGTCAAAATAGGACTGTGAAGGCAGGCAGGCAGGCAGGAGGAGACTGACGTACTGTAGCCTGCGACTTGTGCCGTCAACCTCAACGGTCGGTGCCTCCAGAGGCCTTTGTAAAGCAGGTGTGTTTCGGAATCTGCGGTCGCGCACAGGTGTATTATAGTTTTTATTATTATTGTATGGAAGTTGGTGCACGGCAGGTGAAGGGGTCGGTGGGAGCGGGTGGGGGGGGGCTACCAGGTATGCTGTATATTGCTGACGTAGGCTTTAAAAAAACAAAAAGGAAAATGTATATTTTACACAACCAGGGAATGAAACGTTTAAAAAGTGGCTTGCAAACAAATTTCTGGATGTGTCTTTTTTCCGTACTGTGCACATGTTACATGTTATGTACATGTTAGAATACATTGAGAGCCACATTTGTAACATAACGAGAAAACAATACAACGTTGTCAATACCCGCTTGTGTTATGGTGATTTTTGTTCGCGTTGTGGGTGTCATTTTGTCCATGTTTGTTCGCCTATTGCAACTATTCTCAACATACAACTCTCACGCATCTGCATATGGAGATTTAGGTTTTTTTTGGTTCAGCAAAAAGATTGCCCCCTTTTGTGGGGATTTACGGGCAGGTTGTGACTACTCGAGACAATTCCTCGTAACAGTAACGTGGAATTTGCGCCACTCACAGTGGAAGTGAGCAAAGCCCTGATACACCTTTCAAGGCACTCTACCAGTACCAGGTGAATGATTCACCGTTTCGCGTACGGTCTATCTCGTCCTACCGATTTCAGCAGTAAGGCTGCCGCCAATACACCTTCCCATCGCTCTCTCTGCGCGCAAATAAAATATAAAAGTATATTTACACATACCATCGGCCACGGACATTGACTCGCAGAAGGCCGTCTGGCCGATGGAATGTAAAAAAAAAAATCTCAAACGACTTGCATTTATTATCTGGAGAGAGAGACGTGAAGGAGGCAGGCGTATTGTTTGCGTATTTATCTTGTTAACGTATATTGACCGTGATTATTTTCTATCCTGGAAGTAGATGAGGATAAAATGTATTAAATATAGAAGTGAACAAGTAGCAGGTTGGATAATGACGAAGATAAGGTATTATCCAGCAGTGGAAATATATACAATATATGATGGTGGCAAATGGTTGAGATGATCAGAATATTTATTTATACTGGAGGAATCCGATGAGCTATGAAGCTCATTCGACAGGTAAGCAGGCAAATTATTGCCGTGCTTCGTGGTGTTATTATCATCATCATCATCAACATCGTCGTCGTGATTGTTGTTGAGGTGCATTGGCTGGTTGGCTGATGGTCGAGAGGGCGGGAGGAAGCGCCGAGTGGAGTGAGTGAGAGCTTGCAGCTATATAAGTAGCAGCCGTCACACCTCGCTCGCTCCTCATTGCGCTGAGACAGAGCGCTGGGGCGTTACGCTGCAGGGAACCCGCGTCAGAAGAAAAGGGATAGAGAGGAGGGGGGAGGGGGTTGGAAAGTTGAACGATAAAAAGAGACGGTAAAAAAAAATATATATATAAGACTAAAACTCATCGTCATCATCCCAAACCCCCATGGTTCCATCGCAGCATCGACGCGCCTCCTGGCGAGAGGCAGCCAACGCGGCAGTCATGTGGAACATGATGAGATCTCTCAAGCCTCCGGGCAAGACCTCAGATGAGAAGACATCTCTGCAGCAGCAGCAACAGCAGGGCAAGGAAGCGGCAGCTTTCGGCATGGTGGTCACTCCGGGCAGAATCCCACAGTTTATCATCCCCTCGCTGGAGGTGATGCTGGTGGCGCCTCCGCCCGCAACTGCAGCCGGACGCGACGACGCGACGTTGGGGGTGCCCTCTCTGAGCCGCACCCTCAGCCAATCTGACCCCGTGATGAGGAGGAGGCACGGGGTCAAGACGGCGTCGGGGAGCTCGGCGGGAGACCTCCTGGACACCAGTGACCCTCTCATGCGGGCTGCCATGTCGCTGCCGCACTTGCCCAAGAGCACGACCCCCTACGGGTTCCCCACGGTGACGGAGAGTCCTCACACGCGCAGGAAGGAGTCCCTCTACTTCGAGAGCGACCACGAGGAGCAAGGCGACGCCTGCCAGATGGTGGGCGCTGAAGCTGCCGGGACCTGTGGTGGTACTGGAGGAGCTGTAGGAGGAGGAGGAGGTTTGCCGTTGTACCGAAGTCGATCGAATCCCGTGCCTGGCCAGGCGCGCTGCGGTGCTGCACTGGCTGTCGATTTTGAGCTGGTCGCCAGCCGTGCCATCTCCTGGGAGACCATCCCGGCGCTCACAGTGACTCCGCCAGACGATGGGTTCTTCAAGAAGCCAAAGACGAGGTTCAGGGGCCTCATCAGGAAACACTTGCCCAGCATTAAACGCATGAAACCAGGCAGCGGCGGCGGCGGCAGCAGCGGCACGAAGAATAAAGAGGCGAGCCAAGAGCCAGGGGACAGTCGGGGAAGGGAATAATCAGTCACCTAACGCTGTTTGTGTTTGAAGAAGGAAATTTTTAATTATTATTTCTGCACTCGGCCACTGTGGTTGCAAGTGTATTAAATCAAGGTTTTGTAAACGCATGGTCAGCATCACTATCCTTATCATTTTCTTACCGTGTTATTTATTTTATTTACTGCTTGTTTTTCTTATGCTATTTGTTGCTCGCGGTTGCAATTCACTCGGTGTTCGCCGCCGATGTCTTGACGGGTTTCTCTTTTCATTCCTGTTGCTGCTCTACGACTCCCCCCACCCCCCGTACCGTTCCCGTTCCGCTGTAATGTGTACCGATGCCTACTTTATTGAGAGCGATATTGCCACGTAAAATAAAGATTGAATGATCATCATCATCTTCGTCACCATCATTATCGTCATGTTCCTCATCATCAGCTTATGATTATTAATTCTCATCTTCATCTTTGTCATTATCTTCCCCGTTATCTTTCATCTTCGTCATGATCATCACCGCCATCGTCGTCGTGTGCCTCATCATCATCATCCCTATCATCTAAATCATCATCGTCTTCCTCATCATAAATTTTCTTGACAATGTCGCCAATAGTCATGCACACACTCACATTATACACACACACTGCACATTATTAATAGACATACACGTGTACAGACACACACGCATTCGAGGGACACTGGAATGAAATGCGTCAACTTTGTGTTTGAAAAAAATAAAATCGAATTATGCGTTATGCAGTTGGGTATTGAGTTTGTGGTAGATGCATGTTTACATTACGCGTTGCACGCGTCTGATGATTGACAAACACGCGTCACGTGATGTTGAGAGGGCTGAGTGAGTGGGAAATCTGCGTGCGTCCAGCATGACGTTAATGATAATGAGACCGAGGTTTTCTTACGTGGAGCTACTGATGATTAATCATCAGGCACGTGCAGCGTGTTCACACTTAATTTGAACTCAGACTGATTACCACAAAAATGCGAACCGCGATTGATTACGAGGGATTGGAGATTAGTAAATATAATGTTCCGTAACGGCACATTTAATTAACTGATTTATCGGGGAAAGCCTCAAAGAGTCTCAAGATATTTTGCAGGGGGCAGCTGCATTAGGATGTCAATTCTCTTATCCTGTAGCTTTTGCGCTTGAGAGGAAACCGGGGCGTTTGATTAAACCCCACGACGACCAGGAGACAATGCTACAAGCTACAAACCATCCGTACGGATGGATCTCTCATTCAGAAAATATTCCTACGACCCAAATCACTATCAATGTGCCCGATCTCAGACTCCCAAGCAGGAGAGAAGAGTGGTCAATATTCGGATGGGCGACCACCTGGCTTGCGAGGTGTTGTAGGCGTGGGATCGCATGGTGCCTAAGGAGATGGCAGTACAGCCAGGGTCATATTACTGGTAGGAACCACCTGGCTCCACCAGCCCACAGGGGATTATTGTGTCCGTCCGTCCGTCGTGATTTCAAAAATGGGAGGGGTCGGGCTGGGTGGAGAGGGGAGGGTGGGGAGGGGCTGGGGCTGGGTGGGGAGGGGAGGGTGGGATGGGGCGGGGTGGGGCTGGGTGGGGGGTGGGAGGGGTGGGGCTTGGCTGGGTGGGGAGGGGCTGGTCACCCCGTGGTGCCCTTATATAACCTACTCACGTCGCCGTTGACCCTGGCCATTGACCGAGAAACCCAACGTTCCTATCAGCTCCCTCCGCAGGAATGTGTTTAGGTGAACGTGTACTGTAATAGCCACCCGGCAGACCAGGACAGAACAAAGACCCCTCCCCTATCAATCCTCTCTCCCCTTACAGCAATTAACAAAGGCGGTTAATGCTCATGTTGTTGATTTTGTTTATATTACTCAAATGCAAACGATAACGTGAATGCACAATGATACTTTATTAATTGAGAATGTAATGTCTTCTGTGTTCCATGTCCCTGCCGTTCCCTCCTCACTCCATAAGCACTGCCCGGAGCACAGCAGTGGATCGTTGAATCCATCAGTTGCGACTCATTTCCCTTTGCGTGGATTTTCTCTGGGTACTCCGATTTCCATCCAAATTGTCCAAATATCCAAACGCACGACTCGACTGAAAAGAGAGTGTTCAGCCTCGATGTGGCTTTCTCGGGTAAATGTATACATTATTATAAAAAGTGTACAGTACTTTGTTTTTGTTAATCATGTCAGGTATGACATTTGTTTTCATGCGGCCCGGAACATCATTTTCTATAATGGCTTTTCGAAAATGTCAATGGCATCTGTTGTTCCTGTTGCGAGTATTTTGTTATTAAACTTAATGTGGATAATCGCTCGTGCAGCATCAACATCAACAACAACGTTTCATTTTCACCATCAAAGGATTTTCGCTCCAACCCCGAACCCAAGAATGGAGACTGCAATCCATCACTTAATACAATCTTATCACTCTATTGATCATTACCACTGCTATAGATGCTGCCGTGGGTTAATGGTTAGCTATAGTCGACTTGCAGAGGACACCCCTTCGATCTCCCAGCGCGGCAATGTATACAATGGGTACGTTTCTTAAATGCTCACCTCCCCTCCCTCTCACCGCCTCGTGCCACCCATCAGTCGACACGTGTTCACCACAGTTCGTTGGTCGGCAGGTCGTGTGCGGTGGGGTAAAGTGTGGGTACCACCCCCTCCTCTTTCTTCCAAGACGCCTGACCAGCACGGAAGAAGAAGGCCAACATATCCTCAAGGCGAGACCTGCAGAGCTGCCCTCTCGTGGAAGGCAACGGAGTGAGTTGGACATTGCATGGCTGCACCTTTGCTTATGACTGCGTCACACATGTTTGTTTGTTGTAGTACAGAGTTAGACTGATGGCCTTAATCTAAGTTGTCTTATGGTTGTTGTTGTTGTTGTTTGACTTGCATCCCACTGGGATTTTTGCACACAGCGTTGGTGTACGGTGTTTTTTTCTGCAATATTTTGCTGTCTTTTCTTGGATTTTCTGTTTGCACTTAGTCACATATTCACTTTAAGATGTTTTTTTGTTCATGTTTTTGTTTTTTGTTTGTTGCGGTTGCACCCGATTCAAGAGCCGAATGGCTCACAGGGCTATACCTAATAAATGAACTTGAACTTGAACACATTTCCCATGAACCTCACGCCGCATTCATATCTCCACCGATGTCGAAAACTCCTTCGACCAGATTGATCGTTTTCTCTCATCCACACGAGCTTCAACCATTCGAATGGTAGAACGCAAGACTGATATCTTCCCCCCCCCCTCCTCCCCCCCTTCTGGTACCACTCGGCTTTGGAACCACCTCCCCCCGAATCGCATCTTTTCTCAAGTTCATATCGCGATGCTCTATGTTAATAACCGCGTCAATTATTGATCGTTTCTGAGCGCTATCCCCCTTGAACGAGCAGGCGGGTATTCTCCGGGCACTCTGGGGTGCCCACCAACACGAATCCAAATACTCTTTGGTTCTTTCGGTAAAGTCACGTAGGTATAAAATAAATTAAATCACGAATCCAAATATCCATCGGTGAAATTGGCACAAAACATCCCAATGGATTTTGAGACTACTAAAGGTAAGCAAATGCCAGGTATCATCATCATTCTTTGTTTTTTATCTGCTATTCCATCACTGGCATATTCCGTTGCCTTGGCCGTTATGTTGTTGTCCGTCTTTGGGCTTATGCACCGCAATTATGATTTTCAAAAAGAAAACATGTTTTTCTATAAAGTCATACGCATCTCATGCCTGCTGACTGACAAATAACGACGGCGTCTGTTTAACATTTCAAATGGGAGCGCGGAAAAGCCATTCATCAGCCTGATGAATTGCGTGCGTTTGATGTAAAGACATTGTCAATATTCATTAGCGTAATTACTGGAAGTGCTTTGACCAGTTTCGACCAGCCAGGACCACAGGGCGAACACTGCCAGGTGAGGTGCATACTGAAAACTCATCCATTTGTCAAGCTACCGCTGGATGAAGGCCTCTCCCCACGCTGCGTCGTCCATAGATGTTGTTTGACCATACCTCCCCATGCTGTGCAGTGGCAGGTTGAAGGGAGTGACCACCTCAGCGCTGCGTCAGTTACCACTCGCCACTGTTGTCAGCCGTATCCGAGAATCGAATTCATGCTGTCGATGTTCATAGCGTTGCCGCTCCACCCATACGTAATCGCACAGCATACCTGAATAATGTAAACGTTACATTCATATTCCATGCACCTATCAAACAATCACAACAACCAGCCACCTTCGGCACGTGCGATACAAATACAAATATATATTCCTTGTGTAGCCTTAACAGACTGTTGGGGCAAGTGCTGTTAGCGAGCACCTATGAAGGCCGGCACTGCATACTATGAAACGATAACTATAAACAATTTTTATTTAACCAGGTAAGGTCCACTTAGCTATATAGTTATTTTTCAATAGTGACCTGCTCGCAAAAGATAGCTCAACGAAGTGGCTCATCACGTGGACATTTATCGCAGCCAGATATTCTCAACGTATGTTTCTAAACGTCGGGGGGGGGGGGGGGGGAATGGGAGGACCCGGAGAAAAATCCACGCGACCGTAAGAAGAGAGACACGCAAACTCCAAATATACAGCAGGCGTCAGGGTTGGGATCGAACCCACGTCTTCCCGCACGCAGGCGAGGTAGTTAACATCTATTAGCCACCGTGGCATCCACGGGAGGGGGTGGGTCGCCAGCACCACGCCCAGTGGCCATTACCTCCCCGGTGCTCATGTTTACACACCGCACAAGGTACTTAATTAAATCTGAGTCGACCTATAGGAAAGGCCCATGGTCGGTTCAGATATTCGCCCAAGATGAATATTCATATGTTTGTACGAACGACGTTTCCTTGGAGATTCCGCCAAAAAAGCTCACAGCTTTCTCGTGAGAGATGAGCTTTTGTCAACACTTGAAGACGACGCTGGGTGTAATCTCCAGAGAAACGTCGTCCATGCAATTCTCGAAATGTTGTTTGCTTCTCAAGGTTCCTCCCTTTTCCTGAAAAACCAAATCAATTGGCGTATTTGGCCACGTGAGAATTTGATTTGAATGGCTCTGTCGGGTGGTGGAGGGTTATAGTAGAATACAATTGACATTATACCTACAGAATCTTACCCAAAAAAGAAACGAATAATGTAGTGCAATTTTTTTTTTGCACTGCATTATATATCAGCCGCCTCAATTTAAAAAGTATACATTTTGTAATCGTATTTGTTTAACTTACAGAGTACACATAGACTCGTCTCTATTTGAACCACATTCATTCTCGCTAAGCTTCTGCTAGAACACCGTGGAATCAATACAGCAGTCGCTCACAAGTGGCTCTGTGTGCACAAGAAGATGTGCATCCGTCCCACTGAAGTGTCTCCACCTCTTCGGTGCCACCAATTTGTGCTGCGACCCGTTGTACCGAGGTCTGCGCGTGAGTGCCGCAGACAAAATGTGAGACACAGTGAGCATAGTGCCATGCAAATGGATCACTGCGTGTCTTAATGTGCCCGAGTTGAAAATTGCAAATTTTTCTCCAAACATCACCAGGACTCTGAAAGACGAGTGATGTGGGAGATGTATATTGAGAGAAACAAAATAATGAATGATCTGCCGAGAGTCACATTTTGTTTACACTTTCCACTATTGGAGATGAAAGGTGTAGGCAAGACAAATGAAATG